GGGGGGGGGGGGGGGGGGGCGGTTCGGAGGCATTTCTGGTCCAGGCTGCTGGAATGGAGACGTACAGCTCGGCACAGGACCTGGAGATGGCGGTATGTCACCCGCTCCAGACGGAGACGTTCCGGGTCGGTAACTGGGGGGTTTTCCCTGAGCTCTCAGCCGGATGCCTTCCCGGATCATCCGCTGACCGCGTTCCGGGCCGGTAAGTCGGAGGTTTTCCCGAGTCATCAGCTGGAGAGCTTTCTGGCTTATCCGTCGATGGTGTTCCGGGCCGGTAAGTGGGTGGTTTCCCTGAGTCATCACTCGGAGGCCTTCCTGGCCTGTCCGTTGATGGCGCTCCAGGCCGATAAGTAGGTGGTTTTCCCGAGTCGCCACTCGGAGGGCTTCCTGGCTTGTCCGGTGATGGCTCTCCGGGCCGGTAAGTAGGTGGCTTTCCTGAGTCGTCGCCCGGAGGCCTTCCAGGCTTGTCTGTTGACGGCTGCCCAGGCTTACCAAACGGCGGCAAACCTGGCAGGTGAGTTGGAGGTTTTCCTGAGTCATCACCTGGAGGCCTTCCTGGCTTGTCTGTTGACGGCGTTCCGGGCCCGTCAAACGGCGGCAAACCTGGCAGGTGAGTTGGAGGTTTTCCTGAGTTATCAGCCGGAGGCCTCCCTGGCTTACCTGATGATGGCGCTCCGGGCCGGTAAGTAGGTGGCTTTCCTGAGTCATCGCCCGGAGGCCTCCCTGGCTTGTCCGTTGACGGTTGCCCAGGCTTACCAAACGGCGGCATTCCTGGCAGGTGAGTTGGAGGTCTTGCAGGTTTATTATTCGACGGTGCTCCAGGCCCGCTACATGGCGGCCATCCCGGCAGGTGACTCGGCGGTCTTCCCGGCAGGTGACTCGGCGGTCTTCCCGGCAGATGACTCGGCGGTCTTCCCGGCTTATTAGTTGACGGTGCTCCAGGCTTACCAAACGGCGGCATCCCTGGCCGCTGAGTTGGAGGTTTTCCCGGTCTGTTAGTTGGCGGTGCTCCGGGCTCACCAAGTGGCGGCAATCCCGGTGCGTAGACCGGAGGCGCTCCCGGCACATGAGCCGCAGGTATCCACGGCAGATGAGCCGGAAGCATCCCCGGCTTATCCGTTGACAGTGTTCCCGGCCCGCCGGGCGGCGGTGTTTCGATCCCACCCGGCCCCTGAGTACCTTGACTTTGAACAAAGTCGGCGGGATTGAGTTGGCCCTTGACTCTTGCGTAAATGCCGGGCAGTCCCTTGTGCGCACAGCCGAGGCCAAACGAGACGACGCCGACAATCTCCCTCGACTTGGAATCAATGAGCGGGCCGCCACTATCGCCATTGCAGGAATCCTCGTCGCCTCCTCCTGCGCAGACCATGTTGTCTGTGATTGGCGGCCCGCCGGCCTTGCTGATCAACTTGGCACACTGAGCGCGCTCTACGACATTAAGGCTGACCTCCTTCAACAAGTCGGGCGACGGCCCTCCCTCTTTCAAGCTGCCCCTAAAGGTGAAAGTCAGAACGCGCCTGATAGGTGACGATGGAAAAATGCCTCTGAGCTACACATACCAACCAGCTACCGTTACCGAGGACCCGGGTTTGGGGTCGGTTCCCTGCTGCGGCAGCTTGCCGTACCTGACTGTGCTGCTTTCTCGGATACTTGGCGATATGGTGAGGAGACAAAGGTCTTTGTCAAGCGACGTCTTGCCATTGAAACCACGGTGCACGCGGCTCGACTGAATCGTCGAGACTTTCCCGCCGCTCATGCGATTCTATTCACCATTGCATTAGAGTGCTTCTGGAAAACATGGGCAACCGGAGCAGCTCGGAGTGTCTGGTGCTCCACCCACGAGTGACGACGATAGTGAAGAAGATAACTTACAAGCGATCCGGCGCGGATCATGGACCTCGGACGCAAGCTTTTACAACAATGAGCGGCGGTCAGGACGGTATCTTCTCTGATGAGCGTGCCGCCGCAGAAATTGGAACCGCCCCCGGGAGGCATCAACGCAACGATAAAGGGAAAGTTGCCCTTGTCGGAGGACTCTCCGTCCACGATTTTGGTGGTAGGCCCTTCCAGCGGCAACGCAGTCGCCGTTTGCGTTTGCGCCCCCAGCATCGCCATGGCAGCCGCAACAGCCACCCGGAGCACCATTGTAGAGATGGAGAGGATTCTCTGTCATTGGCCTGCAATGAACAGATGACTATGTCGTTGGAGCTGGGACACTGCCGGGCATGAGAGCTCAAAGGAGCTTGCCCAGGCCTATATGTAGTTCCGCTCTCTGCTCGAGGCACAATGGCAGACTGCTGGCGCCTATGCAGCGTACACGGTGCAAAAGAGTGCAATGTGGAAGCCGACTTCTTGCGAAACAAGCTTCACGTTGGCATAAATCATGCTGGCATCGGGATGACTGGGCATGAAGTGAAAGGTCTCGATGAAACGCGTCTGGTGTGAACTAGCGAGCCGAGGCGACACCACGTCCACCCGCCTCGGACGACGATCAACAACAGATCAGTTGGAGGGGAGCTCGTCCACGATACTCAGCACCCATTTCGGTAGGTAGTGTCGTTCATGAGCGCTGCCGCGTACGACTTGCATCGTGTCTCGTCCCGGACGCAAGGCGCTCGGCGACCGCCACAGGGGCAGCCTGTGCCGTTGTTTGCACAGATAGCCGCGTTGTTGCACGGCATTGCCACGATGGCTATTTGGCAGTTGGTGGTGAAGGAGCCCGTCGGCGACTCGGTGGACGACGGCGTGATCGTGTGTCGGTCCAGAATAGTCTGGCGTTCATATACACTAAATTGTAAATTGGACAAAGTTTCCAAAAGCACAGTCTGGTAATACCGTAAACCCATGCTCTGCAATGGCTCCGCAACATCCCCGTCCAAATGGGTCCCCCCTTGCCATCGCAGTCGCCAACTATCTTGGCACCGGGCATACAAAATGCCCTCATTCCTAGTCCTCGGCATGCCGTCTCAAGTAGTGGTTATCCAGCCAAACCACTCCACCAAAGCGTACAAGACACCATGACTTGACACCAAGTGAGACGGCATCAGGTCGGGTACCCCAGATTTTTATGCCACTTTTCAAACATGAGGCCCCAAGTTTATGCGCATCTCGGGACGAAGAGCGCGGGCCACATCACTACGACCCGGTGATGGCTGGTGCCGGCGGGCCTCTTGTGCCAAAGTGGCCAAAGTACAAAGGTGATTTCTGTGCTGTTTGGCATTTTGAATGCGCATCCCGGGGCGCGGCGAGTCGACTACTGTCCCCTGTTCCACGCATGAATGAGCTGAGCCCCCCAGCTGCGGCATTTGTCAAGGCCTCTTCCTTCGATCCTTCGGGTACTGATCTTCAGCGCTAGTTTGGCCTCATCTGCGATCTGCGAACGACGCCTTGTTCGCACAAGGAGTGCCACGAGCCAATTACAACGCCAGCGAGAGCACACGGCTGCTCAACGCAAAACACAAACATGGGGCTTGACTGCCGGGACAGCCACTGCACCGTCTACTTGGCCAGACAAGGCAGACAAGCTTGAGGTGGGAGGCGAGAGGATGGCGCATCCGTCGGCCTAGGCACATCAGCATACAAGTATTTGAGCAACTGGCAACTGGCCGAGAAGGAGAAGGGTTATCGCATCACAGGACGGCTTTCATCCGAGCACCTTTGGCACTGCCCCCTGAGGGATAGCCAGTCCAAAAAAAATTAAAAATTATCGGAACAATGGTGGCCTCAAGATCCTTGCAACTACACTGTGACCAAGGGCGCGAGTGCAAATTAGGCAAGTAATGATGGCTAGGCGGGCAAGCAAGACTCGGGCCGCGATGGCGGGTGAGGCCAACAAGCCCATCTTGGCCTCCTTGCGGCGAGCGTGATGACCCGCGGGCACAAAGACTGGGTTCAACAAGAAGCACTTTGAGCTCGTGGATGCATCAAACGGCACCCTCGTCAATCTTCCCCAAACGCCCATTAGGGGGCTTAGTTCTTGTGGCTGTTACGCGGAAAAAGCCTCAACCACATGACTAGCTGCAATGCACAAAGGTTGCAGCTATCACAATGCCCTTGTAGGCTACTATTAGGCTTGGGCACTAAGGTATCGAGATAATAAAGTATAAAGAGGTGTTGTCTCTGTATTGCCTAGTTAAGTTATATATATAAGTACTATTATATATATAAAGCTCTTATTAGTTGAGTCTGTTAAATGAAGGAACTAGGAACCTTTAAGACTATATAATATTATATGTAAATATAAGCAAAATGCTCCAAGCCTTAATCTCTATAACCAGCCCTTGTTATAGTGGCAGATTGACTTCAGGCAGTATCGAACAGGCTGGCAACAACGAGCCACAGGGTGCTAACACGTCCTACGACCATGGCAAGACGTTTCAACAGAAGCCTCGGCATGCAATCCGGCACGTGTCTCGGCATCACGGCGGCCCTGACACGCCCAGCGGCTCCATTCTGTATGGCGCCCCGAGTACCGACCGTACCAGCGACTGCGCCAGGCTTACTCGAGACGCAGGTCGGGAGGGTGGACGGCGTCCGGAAACATTCAGTCCATTTGAAGCGGCACCCGCACAAGAGCTGGATCACGATGATGAGGACTTGGAGCAGACGACTTCATTCACACATTACATCGTGTAGTCTTAAGATCCTTGGTCCCTTGATGAAGGGGATCTAGCTAACAAGAGCTGTTGATGCAAGAAGATGTCTGGGCGTGTAAACTTGGCCTAGATGATCCAGGCATCAAGGGGTTTCTTCATGCGTTGGTCCCCAAACCCACAAGTGGCCTATAAGAGCATCGTGATAGCTACAAACTTTTGTGCATTGCAGCTGGCTAGTCATGTGGTTGAGGCTTTGTAGCACTTGACCGCAAGTTCCGTGTAGCATATAGATTTACGTGCCAATGACTCGATGCCCAGGATTCAGATGGCCGCCAGCCACTTGATCTGGCACCGCGGTCAATAGTTATATGAATGAACCTAGTGGGCCTGAGCGTCGGGACTCGGGATGGCACGGCCATGGAGCTGAGTCGCGCAACCTAGGGTGTGTGACACAGGTCTTCGGGTCCGCGGCCGTAGGCCACGTGGCCATGGGATGATTGAACGGCCAGGGTAAGCCGTATTTACAGCCCTATCATCTTCGCATTCCAGACACACGGTCAAGTCCAGGGTGAGAAGATATGTGAAAGTTTGGTGCTCGATAGCTACGGTTCAGAGTGACCTGTTCTGCCGTGACCTGCTTGCTACCTGCATGCAAACCTATATGCTATCCAGGACCAGCCACGGCGAGGCTGCCAGCCTAGTCAAAGTAGTCAAATGAACGTTTTCCAGTCACTAGGGGGACCAAAGGTCGTCTCCTCGTCTCGCGCTGCCCTGAGCAGACGACGTGGTCTAGACTCCCCACCAACAAAGGCGCATTGCGTAGTGGACAACACTAGTTTCCAGTTTATTTCCAGGCATCAAAATTCTTGACTCGTCTTTAAGATTGCCCGGGCTTGACAATGCGTGACACGCAACACCCGTGTCGTGGTAGAATGCTTGCGTGCGTGGCTGTAAGGTAGCAAATGACTCCATCGTCAGCAGCCTCCAAGATGGGCGCTTTTACTTCAAGTAGTAACTGGGGATGCAAACACTTGGCCCGAGTGCTTCCTTGGAAGGCTGTACGGCCAAGACGAGTCATACTTCTGCATTAGATTGCCGTCTCATGTGTTGTTGTATATTGCATCAAGCATGAAGACAGTGTGGCAAATCCTGCGGTGACAAGAGCAGGTTTTAAGACGCTAATGGAAGTGATATAAAGCCACTGCACCAGCATTTATTTCCAGGAACCATTCTACAATCCCATCTTTACTTATATCAAAGTAGTCAAGTCACGTATGGTTACTTGGCTTCACTCTATTTGCAATTTACTCGGTCAGTCTGTTGCTCCATTACTCTTGGGAAACAAAGATGCGCCACTCGTACGCCACTGTCCTGCTTCTAGCAGCCAGGTCGCTTGCCGCCCCGGCAGATGAGGCCAAGGAGAGTGCCACCGGCCCCGACGCTCCAGCTGGTGTCCTGCGGCTGCCTCTGGTTCCCATTACGATTGAGCCGAGACCTGCTGGCGTCAGCCGACCAGCGCGTCATGCCCAGGCCGACTTGGGAGTTTTTGGATATAGCGGCCGACATCCGTTACCAGGCTTCGGGGTGATTCTTGGGATTGGCACGCCGCCCCAGGAAGTCGTCGCGGAAACGGATACCGGTTCTGATGCGCTTTGGGTACCCGATGTACGGGCTGGCAGGACGAGAGTGGAACCTGTTTCCGTCTTCTTCGACAGGTCCCGTAGTACCAGCATAAGAGATCTTCATATGAAGGACGGCCGGCGGTACACGCATGAAGTGGCCGAGTTCGACGTGATGGCGGACGTGGTATCCATAGGCGGTGCGTTGCCCCGTTTCTGTCTTGGAGCGAAAGAAGAAGAAGAAAAGATGGTCTAACGTTATCACAGGTCGTCCGCTCGGCGAGATCTATTTTGGCGTTTGCAACGTGGACAAGCCTCCTACATCCTTGGGGCGCCACGTTGGCATCCTCGGCTTGGCCCCAGGGAAGAACAAAGACCAGTTCATCATACAGAAGATGCTCGATCAAAACATTGTGGATGACGGCTCTTTCAGCATGGGTGTCGACGAACAAGGCGAGGGCGCCATTATCTTTGGCGGCTATGACACTAGGAGGTTCTCTGGGCCTCTTGAGAAGTTCCCGCTCCATTCCACATCCAGGGTTAAGTGAGTAAGGGAGCCACGGCCAAGGCAATAGTCCTCCCGAACTAACAAACTATGCGACAGATACATTGTCAACATGAAATCAGTGACGCTGTCTGATAGCACCACCGCCAATCAAGTCATGGCAGATCAAGGGCTCACCATAGGGCTCGATTCTGGGTGCCCAGGTCTCGCCGTGAAGAAGCCCATCTTCACCAAGATTCAGAAGGCGCTGGCGGCCACATTTACTCATGGCGTCCTAGCAGTAAACTGCGACAAGCTGCAGAGCACAAACGTCACCCTGGCGATGAGCGACAACGTGTCCGTCACCATGCCCCTCAAAGACTTTGAGTTGGATTTGCCGGAGCTTGCGACTGGAGGCAACTGCTTGGCGGCAATTTCTCTGAGCGACGACCGCGCCTCGGCCGGTAAGAGACCCCTGCTGCCATGAAATGAAGATTTCTCGTCGGCATTGGCCACAGCTTCGAGGTGGGACTAATTTTGCGCCGTTTGTTGATTAGATGTTCGAATTGGCCACCACTTTTTACGCAGAGCTCATGTCGTCTACGGAGACAAGAATGTTCACATTGCTCGGGGCAGCAACTGCGGCTCCAACGTTGTCGCCATCGGGGGCGGCGGCATTCCAAGCGGCGTTGTGGGCGAATGCGCCGAACAGCCGCTCGGCCCAATTTCCACCCCTCCGAGGGCGCCTGCCGACGAGCCGTCTCCGTAGAGCCGCCTCCACAAAGTCATCCGAGTCAAGGGTGGTTGACAATGTCTTGGGCATTTAGGCCAAGGCTGTATGTTTAGCTGGATGGGACGTGCTCCGTGGAGTGACTTGTACTTATACAGACTTACTATGCATTTCTGTGTACCAGAGACTGGCTCGTGTCATTTTTGGGTTTTTCTCTTGCTTCCGGGTAGGTAACTTATACATTAACACACTACGGAATGACGGACGAGCCCACATGGCAGCAACCTGCACGCGGCTAGCGCCCTTCGGCAGCGGCATTGACTGATTGGCCAATGGGCTGCTCCACCACGCACGACTCTCCATCACCACCACACGCGCTCCGCGTCTTGTAACCCCAATTGACCACATGCCAATTCGCATAGCCCAATTCTACCGAGTCCTCCCACCGCCAGTCCACCTTGGTTGCCAAACATGTTTGGAGCGGCTCCAGCAGAGCCGACTGGCTGCGACATAAACCTCACAGACCGCCTTCGCCCCGTGCTGCCCAAGGACGTAGCCTTTGTCATCCACCACCTCTCAACACCCCCTCGAAAGACGGATGCCATCTACTCGGCACCGCCTGACCGACGACCCGATCGAACCTACCGCGAGAATCACTTTCTCACTGTATCAATCAACATCCCACAAAGCGAGCCAGAGCCCGAGAGGCAGGTTATCGTGCTTGGCATTGAAATCTTCATCTACACCACTGCCCATTCCACCACCTTGTTTGTCTCCAAGGCCGATTCAACCGGGTATTTGCCCCTGTTGAACCTCCCCCTCGGCACACCAAGTCCAATCCGCGCAGTCTGCGCAACATTCATCCGACACCTCGTTGCTGCGCGGCGACGCCAAGGCATCCCCCTCGTCGTCAGCCTGTTCGCCAGGTCGCAGGGCCAGTACCTCTTCCCGGGGAGCGTCGACCACGGCGCCAAGCACGTCCTCGACGACCGGGCGCTGGTCAAGTGGTGGTGCCGCGTGCTCGACCCCCTCATCACGTCTCCGCCAGACAATGGCATGACCTGGAAGAATGCAAAGGGCTACCTCGTGATCCCGGGACTGGACTCGCACGAGACGCGAGCCTTTGTGCCCCGCACCGCCGCGGCCTCTTCATCATGGTCCCTCACACACCCGCTCCAGAGGATCTCGCATTATACCCGAGAATACGATCGGGTCCCGCTGCGATGCCTCATCCCGCGCTTCCCGGACGATCCCAAGTCCCGCTTCCGCGACGAACTAGACCAAGAGGCCGGCCAGTCCGGCCCCATGCAGACCGCCGGCACCTGGAACACCGTCAAGACGCTGGACGTCTTTTGGGACATGATGGCCTTCAGACAGGAGTGCTCGAGCGGTAGGATGACGGGCTTCATATGGGTCGTCTTTGACGACGAAACTCCCTCAGCGGCCGTCTGCGGCGGGGCTCCTTCGCCTGCAGCCTCTCACGAGCCGCCGCCCGTGACGATCAAATCTCTTCCCTCCGGGACGGACAAGCCTGAAAAACAGGCAAAAAGAAGGTCAAAACGGAAAAAGTTCAAGCTCAAAGGGCCCATCAGGCCCCGCCAGCCGCGGGCCAAGACCGAACAGCGAAACTATCTTCTCATGACCCCGACCCTCAGCCCGTACTATTACTGGCCCGTGCAAGGCCGCGGATCCGGCATCATCAGTGAAACCATGTACAAGCGCGTGGTGGAGTTGATGCTGCACTTGGACTTTTCCAGCTTGGACAAGGCAGTGGCCAGCTCTCGGCGATGGACGAATGAGGGTGGCCTCGGAAGTGACTGGGGACAGACGGTCGTTGGCGCGCAGGAGCCGACGACGACTCCTGCCGCAGAGCATGGTGAGGGCAAGAGTGAGGGCGAGGTGCAGAATGTCACGTGTTTGGTGAAGAGGAAGAGGACAGATACGAATGGAAAGGGAACGGTAAACTTTCTTGGCGCAGGGCTCGTCAAGAGGAAGGCCAAGGAGGAAGCTGACGCCAGAGTTCACGTCTTGACGTCCAGGTTGGTCAGAAAGAAGCCCAAGGCCGGAGAGTGAATGGATCGGGGACCTAGACTCTGGGCACAATGAGTGTCATGTCGTGGCTTGCGAGGAGTTGAAGCGCCTTGTTCATATATACATGTGGCAATCCAGCCATGGTTACTCGGCCGCGTCGGTCGTTTGAATCACTTCTTCAGATCGCCCATGTTCACAGCAGACAAGGCCGGGCCCCCGCCCAAGACGGCCAGGACGTTGCGCATGCTCAGCTCCTCAAAGGCCTCGTGCGTCTCTACCGTCCCACCGCCATTGTGACAGGTCAGCATGGCTCTCCCCTCTGCGGCCAACCTGCGCAGTCCCTGGTGGACGTGCGGCTCATTGGCGTGCACGTCCAGCGCCACGGAACTGAGTCTCCCCGTCTCGAGGGCTGCCACCAAGTCGTCCTCGTTGACCAGTGCTCCTCTCGACACGTTGACAAATCTCCCGCCCCGGGGGAAATGTTTCAACGTGGACGAGTCAATCAGGGTTCCGCCACCGTACGCCGCAGGCGTGCATAGCACGACGCAATCGGCGGCTTGAAGCAACGACTCCATCGACTCGTGGAAGCCGGCGGAGAGGGCGCGCTCGACGGCGGCAGGTTTCCGCTCAGTGTCAAAGTAGCGGATGTCCATGTCGAAGCCGAAGCGACACCTCGTGGCTACGCGCTGGCCGATACTTCCGAGGCCGACGATGCCGAGGACGCGACGCCGCAAGTTGTGACACTGCGCAGGCGAGTCAAGGTGGCAGGCTGAAAAGGCGGACGGCGAGCCGGCCGTCGCGGCCGCGACGCACCACGGGATGCGGCGGAACGTGGAGATGACCATGGCGACGGCCAGGTCGGCAACTGCGTCCGCGGCAGCCGCCCCTCCGTTGCAGTAGATGATGCCTGCGGAGGTCTCGTCAGCAACGCACGACCCAGCGGTGCCGTCGCCTCGCGCAGACGCGTCGCCTCACCTCGCTCGCCCAGCAGCTTGGTCTCGACCCAGTCGTACCCGGCGCCGGCGCTCGCAAACACCCTCACGCTGCTCGGCAGCAGCGCGATCAACTCGTCGTCCCACCGGCCCATCTCGCCGCCTGTCCGCCACGACGGCCGAAACATGGCCTGGAAGCTGCCCCATTTTCCGGCTCTCAGGCCCTGGATAAAGGGCGCTCGCTGCCGTTCATCCGCCGAGGGTCGGACGACTTCATACTGCGACGACAAGAGCTCAAACGTGTCGTGGTTGAAGCGAATAGGGTCGCCGAGGTGCAGGACGCGCGGTTTCGGCTCGGATGTGCCAACCAGCGTCGGGTGGCGAGGCGGATGCGGCACGGGCGAGCCCGAGCGCGGTGTCGAGCCGGGCACGGGTGTGTTGTAGGGCTCTGCCATGGCGGTGGGGGCGCCAGGGCAAGGACTTGGCTGATGTGTGGCGGTTGCGGTCGATGATGTCGGGGGAGCAGGCCAAGAGCCATGAATGCCGCGGGCGAAAGATGGTGAAAAAATATCGTCTCTTAATTCAACCGGGGTCGCGGTCAGGGTCAAGGTCAGGGTCAGGCGCGGCGCTTCCCCCGCCTTGATTGGCCCCACCCGGGCGCCCCCACCACCACCGGCAGTCGGGGACCCCCACGAATGAGTGCGGATGCGCGCGATGCCTGCCGACTGCATGCTGAGCAACTTCAACACCCTTGAATTAGGAAGGTGCGATTGCACCGCCGCAACAAGTCGCTAAATAGCAAGCGCGGAATAAAATTTCCCCGGTTAGTCTCTCCCTGGCGTGTGTGAACCAGCGGTCCGTTTTGCACTCCCATAGACAGTCGACATGGAAATCTACCAGCGAAGCCAAGCCTTCACTGAGAAAGATGGCTATCAAGAATTCGACTTCACAAAACTCACTATGAAGGGACAAAATCACCAATATTTCCACGCTATTACTAAGAATGGCATCGACACGTGCTCTCCAGTGGATGTAAGTCGACTCGAACGGTCCCAATACCCATCGAAAACATTCAGCCGCTTTGCTCAGACCAGTCCTCGCGGGCGCCAGAGCTCTCCCCATCAAAGTAGTACATAAGGGAACTAAATCCGCTAAATTACGGCGATTCACCAGCCGGACTCAACATTAACCCAACAAATATTATAGTTGATGGCAGTCATCGCCCAGTCATGATTGATTTTGATACCTGCCATCACCACGGTCAGAAGCTAGCTCCCAAGGCAGGTACGTGGGGTTGGCTCATAGAGGGGTCGGAATTTGCGAGGTAAACTTAAGATATATAACATGAATCCTTCTGAAAGATGGAGGGCCGAAAAACAAACGCGAACGATAATTTTTATCAAGAAGCTTAGCTAACAATGAGCCTCTTAACGCGGCAGAACGGATTAGAATTCTCGCATTCAAACTGGTCAATGTTGCATGCCAATGCAGGAGCCCCAAATAGATTTGTTTATTTATTAGCTGTGTCAAACAGGTGCTATTTATGACTGCAATATATTGTTTTGCGATAATCCACAAGCCAGGGATATTGACACTAGAGTCTTTCCACCTTGAGTCTAAATATCTTTTGGTATTGTTCGACTGCGCAACACGATGTCTCTTACTAGTCAGGTTCCAAGTGCTCCCGAAACCCGCCCCGCCACTCCTGTCTCGCCGGACGAGGGTTTGTGGATGAAAGAGATGATGGGATCCGATCGCGAGAAAGTACCTTCTACAAGGTATAATATAACCTGCTGTGCTGGAAAACTAGACTTGAAACATGTTGACTAAAGGAACCTAGTGTTTGTCTCACTCTACTCTATTACAGATGTGGCGTTTCCTCTAATGCTAAGCTAGTTGCAGCTCTATCGAGTGTTGCCAAAGTTTTGTTATAGTCTGAGCTATGCTCGACCTATCAATAGATGCATTGGAATGGACGTGACGGGACACGGCCTGCCTGCCTCTTCGTTGACAACCTATACAGTGCTAGATGGGCGAGCTTAGGGCAGCTTGTTCTAAAATTGGGTTTAGTTTGCTGCCGACGACTACATCCCGTCTGACGTTGTATGATAAAGTAGTTGCTAGTGATTATCGGCGACTTTTTTTTGACCATTAGTTACTGCTATACATAATACTTGCAGGGAAAATTCACCCTTGTATCCTCACATACCACCGTAGCAGCTAGATTACTCACGATCCCATCAAGCTCTTCTCCACGGTTCCAATGCCTCTATGTATGGCGGAGTGTGCCTCTAGAAATGGAGCCTGTGGTGTCCGTCTTTGGAGGATGGCAAACCGACAGATGGTGTGGTAGTGGGCTGGCGAGGGAGGCTTGATGGTGCACACGTGCTAGGCAGCCCTTTGTGCTGCTCTCGTCCTCGTTCTTATCCTCGACGTTGTTCGTCGCCGTTTAGGCAAGTTGAAGCAACGCAGCATCATGGAAGTGAGTTACATCCGACGGGGGAGCCATCTGAGCCACAAGAGTCACCGTCCAACTGCGAGACGAGACTGCCTCTGCTTTGACAAAATAATACGATGGACACAATCCCACGTGTATCCACCATGACTTTGAATGGAACGTATTTCTTCACAAGAACACAAGGCCAAGGCAGGTTGACAAGGATTCGGTGTATGGCTATTCTCATCCACTTTCCCACCTGGCTGAAGCCCCAGCGGCAGACGAGCAGTCTGGATAGCTGGCGCCCAATTCAGCTCGCCTTAACTTGACGATTAACCAGGCCAGTTGACCGCAGATTTTCTCAGTAGATTACGCCCACCTGTAGGCAATGCGTCCTCAGTCGTCAAGAAGAGCCGTAAAGCAGAGTTGAAAGCCGCAAGCTCGGGCGGAGAGAGGCAGGTCTCCAACCGGCGGTAGCTGGAAGAAGTCGCCGCACAGCAAGACGCTGACACGACCAAAATGCAGGAGGTGCCAAGTAGCAGGGAGGATGGGGTCGTCGATCAAAGAGAGCACTTGATATCAACCATCAACTTCGCGTCAGCGATCTGGAAGCGGCAGTCCCAAAACAGGGCTCGCAAAGACTGCAAGGTAGCAACCGACAAAATCTGACCTTCCTCGCCTCGACGCGGAGCCCTACGAGACTGTGGAGGGCCTTGCCGAAGACGTTGGACGCGGCAATACCTGCAGGAGCAGCTCGGAAGACCAGCTTCTGCCGTCCAACCTCAAGTGAGAGCTCTTGAATCCCCGCACACGTCGTCGCGGGCAGGAGGATCGGAGCATAGAAAAGCTCGGCTCAATAAACGTCTTTTAAACTAGCATCATTTTCTCTGCCGCTTGCCACAAGGGTTCACGTCATTTGTCTTGCAGTATGTAGTTCCATGACGCCAGCTTTTGGGATTTTTCGGGGCGACCTTTCTTGGAGGCACATTCTGAATTTAACAAGACCCTTTTTGTAACTGACTTTTCTTTCTGGGAGAGCTTCAACGCTACAAAAGTTCTTAGTTCCGCAATATTCTTCACGCACTTCCTCGATCTTGCCGTTTTCGTCGGGAAAACATCGTAATTCTGCCAAAATTGGATTGACTGGCCCGGAGTAGAAGGGCAAGCTCCCTCCCTTGTCGACAGGCTGGATAGGTTGCAGCTCAGTCGGGTAGCTGGGTCTCTGCATCGGCTGAGAGCGATACTTTGTCCAAAACGACCGCATGCGCTCGAATTGCCTGGGCGTGAACGTTTCCATGCAAGAACTATGTGCGCCCCAAGCATTAGTCTTTCAAGACTTGTCCTTTCGTCCTCAGGTCTTGAGGGGCGTGGGCAAACTCACTCGGGTATATAGTTCATTGGGTTGTGAACGGGATCGTTGCCAGGCTCTCCAGGACAAGTGTCGAGTGGTGGCATCGCAGAGCACCCGCGCGATGGGCCTGCATGTGCGGGAGTGTCGTCAATCTCGTCGCCGTTGCCGATGCAGCCGTTCGCGAATGTGTGCATCAGTCCGAACCAATGACCGACCTCGTGAACGACGACCTGTTTATCCGTATAAAGCCAGATGGCCGCAATCATGATGCCATCCATTTCAATCCCCAGCGGCGTTCCCACCATGTCACTTGGCCAGCTAGAGATGGAAGCGTCAATTCCAGGTCCCCTTGGATGGTTCGCGTAGTAAATATTCAAATGTCGGTTATCGCCCTTGTGGTGTAGTAGCTTCATACGCTGCTCGTCCTCGCCCTCGGAAAGTTGTGGATTCACAGTCCAACTTGCACTTTTCAGGACAAATGAGATATTACCCGGCTTATAATAGGTATTGAGAAAGGCTATCTGCTCATGTATGGTATTGTTCTATGGTGACAAGTCATGACATGTTAGTCGCCAGGTCTAACCACGTTTCTGGCTTGTGCAAAACTCACGCTGAAGTGGCTGAAGTGTGTTTCTGACATTGAGATGACGTGCACGTAGACATCAACAACAATCGCTGGAGGCGTATGGGTTGTTTCGTTTCGACGAAGCAAGTGATGCTTCTCCGCAGCCGCCAGCTCGCGGTGAGCAGCCAACAACGCCGCCGGGGCTTGCTCAACAGCGCAAGGTGAATCTCCGACATGGCCTGGCGTCGTGAAAGCTGCCCCGAGTCGCACGAGGCCGGCCAGCACCACAGAGATGAGAGGCTGCATATTGACAGGGTGTACGCCCGTGGTATTTGAGAAATGATGGGGATGAGCGAAATGCTAGTTGTGTGACTATGAACTGGTTTGGCCCAAGCGGCAGATTCTTTGATATTTATAGTGCTGGTAGTCACTGATTAACCTATGAAGCTTTCGTCGCCCGCTCGGCTTGTCCCCAGGTTCCCTATCCACGATCATGACCTTTTTGTGCTTGTTACTTGTAAAAAGAGAGGATGTCTGCTGACGCGTGTCCAAATTACTCGAGAACAGCTGGATAACCTAGCTTTAGATTCCCACTACGGAGTATAACGGAAATGCATTATACGTCGTAAAATTAAACAAATGCGTTAAGCGCATGGATTAGCACTTATGCTGGGTACATTGACGTAGGCTAGAGATTATATGCCACAGTCATGGAAATATGCCTAGTTGTGAGGTTTCACGTTTGACTCGTGCAATCGTGAATGGACTACTGCTAGTGTCGAGGCGGAGTCGTCATGGAGGGCCCGTTAACGGCCAGTGTAATGCTCTGGGCTTGAGCGGAGGGATTATCCGACGGCATGATTCAGCATGTCGGCACGTGGCTCTCGGTACTCGGCGATAGCCTTCTTGACAACAGAGCGGACACCGATGGATGCCCATGCGGATATGGGACTCGAGGCGTGCGACATGTCCTCCTGGTGGACAGAAGAAAGAGGCAAGCGCGTTCTCTGCAGCTCCTCAATGGCGGGACAAGCATCCAAGATGATACTCAGGAGCGAGGACCGGCCTGCTTAGTCAATTCCAAGCAGTGCCGTCCACGTCAAAAATAGGAAGAAAATTCGAGGCGCGACCTGCAGTCTCCGATTGATTGGGGCGATGGACACAGCAGTCCGACAATCATCACACACGGGGGACGAGGATGAGGACGCGAGTCATGGGTGGCCCTGGTTCATGCTTGATGGCCCGAGAGACCGGCGTAGCCGGCCGGCCTTTGCCTCGACACCTGACAAGTTTAACAGCAACAGCGGTAACGTATCCCCTCGTCCGGCGGAATATTGGTACGCTAGCAGGGGTGCATGTAATGTCATCAAGACAGAGCCCCGTGGCGAGGTAGCACAAGGAGCTATTGCTATTATGCCCCGAGATGAATTACATCTTCTTCCCGTCGGTGAAATCGTGTCTAGCACTATCTAGTGTCCCTGAGTGCCACTTCACGGAATGTACAGATGTGGCTGAACCTCTGCGCTTCCGAGTGCGCGACCATTTCCTCTCCACAGCTACGCTCAGGTGTGGGAAAAGATGAAAAGGGGCTGCCCGTCAGATCATGTCAACGGCAGGAGAAAGGGCAGGTCAGGATGAGCGCCGTACCTGTGGGGCCCCGGCCGGGTGGGGCCGACCGGGCCGACCGAAGTCAGCCCGGGCGCGGCATCCCATCCTGCAAAAATTGATGCCATGCCCTCCATAACTTGGAGGCACATTTGGATTCCGCATCTGCAGCAGCAACACGTGCTGTCCTTGATCTTTGACAAGTAATCCGTTGCGAGGCCGACGGACATAAGCTAGACACAGTTCGGCGGCCATGTTCCCGCATCTGATACGGCTATCGATGTCATCCTATGGGCAACCAATACCACGCGCTGAGCCAAGACAAACTACAATCCACTGCCTCCCCTCGAAATAAACTTAGGATAGAATACTCTGTCATGCTGGAGCTAGTCCCGTTGCGTCGGCAGGATTATGCCGAGAACCTTGGCCCGGGGTCGGCCTTCTCTCGGGGCAGAGCTCCCCTGTAGAATCCCACATGGCTCCCGATAGAGTCATGAGCGGCTTGTCGTACAAGAGGGAGGAGCGCTTCTTGCACGCGACCATCACGAGTCATGTGATGCAGCGCGTATAGCCAACCCCTTGCTCCGCACTGGAATCTTGAACACCACGTGGTCTGGGATGCTGCTGCCTCTGTCGTCTTCTTAGTCGACACTACTAAGAAACCCACATCCCGGTCACCACGCTAATTTCAGCATCGTCGCCGGCAAGATAAGCTTTGGTCTCTATCTCTCGGTATATCTGGGCTTTACCCAAACAATTGCGCCAGAAGAACAAGCTATGCACGACAGATCCTCACGTCACTACCTCCTGCTCTAGCAAAGATGAATAGACGGAAATCCCGGGCCCCTGGAAGAGTTTGTATCTCTACAAGAAAGAGGCTCGCCGCTGGTTCAAGCCTGCGCCGTCGCAGTCATCATCCAACATGCGTCATTTGGCTCTACAAATGTGACCAGGGCTTGGAGCTAGCGACTTATATTCACATATAGTAACGTATTGTCCCAAAGGTCCTTGGTTCCCCAATCTGACGGACCCGACCAACAAGGGCTATTTATACAAGACAGACCCTGTGTGTGTAACCTGACTAGGCAGCCTTTGGGTGCCTCGTCGCCTTGGTACCCGGGCCTCATAGTGGCCTACCAGGGCATCGTGATAGCTGCAACCTTTGTGCGTTGCAGCTAGTCATGTGGTTGAGGCTTTTCCGTGTAGCAACCAACTACCGCGACGGCGATGGCCGGCTCTGCGTGGAAACCGCGGCCAGGAAACTCGAGACGCTGGTGTAAGTAAGAGAAAATCCAGGTCCCAGTCTCTGTCCATGCAGTTCATGTTGCTCCCAGGTTGTATGTGCTCTATGAACTTGTTGGCTGGGAGGGGTACGAGTTCGCCATCAGCTCCTTCATCCGATGTTGGCGAACTCCAAACAAATTGTGCGCATGCTTTTGGGATGGCGGAAAATCCATCCCGTATTTTGCGCCACATAGAAGTGGCTGTGAGAGTGTCCGGGACACCAGACCACTCACTCGTTCCATGTCTCGACGTAATCGGCCGAGTATATCATGGATCAACAATCAGCAAAGCCTCACAGCCGCCCGCAGGATCCTGCGTAACATGACGACATCTGATGCAACGGCTCCACTCACAGCGTTGCTCTTCTCAAGCCCCAACTCTTTAGTCACGGGCCATACGTCTCAAAAGGGCCTTGTTACCACGTATTCCGGCCCACTGCGGCATGTCGAGAGGATTCAAAGCTGAGTAGCCCGGCGTGCTTGGGCGGACCTTGCCTTGACCGTCTTCACCTGCATTGGCGGCAAAAGCCCAGGTTCTCGCTGCGACGTCGACGGCGTTTTACCCCGCGACGAGTCCGACGTGGCGCTGGCATCGACAGCGCAAGACGGCGCGTTCCCCGCGGCTCGTGACTGTCCCTCGGATATTTAACCAGGTCGGCGGCTGTCTGGCCTGGTCGACGCTATTCAGATGTCTCAAGAAGACGCAGACGACAGTTGTGGCGGCGCGGACTGTCCATCGCGTGCAGACACAACCATGGAGATCAAGACGGTGCTCACGACCGTCATCTCAGGATCCCGGTATCTCGTTCATCCGCAAGTGCTGGTAGGCTCGATCCCGTACATAACCATTTGTTCATGACCTTGGCGCATGAGCGCTCGCCTTGCTCCGACACTGAACCCTGAGCAGGGCACAATCCAGGAGACGATAAATCCCGATGTCATCGTCCCGGTGACTGTGCTTGAGCCGGAGCAGCTTTACCACCAGCTCGAGGGCACCCTTCGATTGTTCGACTTTTACGACGACGTGTTTACCCCCGAGTTTGGCAGCATTCTGATTGAGAAACCCGGCGGCAATTCGGGCATGGAGATTACGTCCGTCGCCGGCGTCAAGACGGTGATGCGCCTGCGCAACGACAGTGTCGCTGTGGCAAAGCGCTCCGTGAGAGACTTGCCGGCAGGCCCGTATCTTTTGCACGGGCCAAATGTCCACCAGGCGTGGAAGATATACAACGACACATTGGATGCCTTTGCGTTCGGGGTATACCCGGAAAGCGTCGACGAGATGGATGCGTACGAAGCCTGGACTGGGCGCCGAATGGTTGCAGACTGACCGACTCTCCTTCTAGATTTCAAGTCCTTCGGCTTCCGCCCGACATCGAGTCCAACCACACGTCCATTCCGGTCCCGTCGAAGCTATACAGCACCGTCCCTCCGGAGCAGGCGCCTCTCAGAGGCTACCGCTTCGCTGTCCCAGACTCCGTGCCCCTCAAGGGCATTCCCACCACCTTCTCCAGCAGCTCCTGGGCCGAGCTACACAACACCACGGCAGACTCGACCGCGGCGTTTGCCAAGCGGCTTATAGACCTTGGGGCGACTGTTGTCGGCAAGACAAAGTCGTCGCAGTTTGGCTCGGGGAGAGAGTGGGCAGACGTGGTCGCTCCCAAGAACCCGAGAGAAGACGGGCATCAGGATCCCGCGGGCGGCGCAACCGGCGCTGCCAGCTCCCTGGCTGGCTACGAATGGCTCAGAGCATCGACCGGCCTCGATTGTAGGTTCTGCCTCAGGGCCAAAGGGCACCCGGCGTGAAGATGTTGACCGGTCGGCAGCCATCGGGCAGTTGTTTGGTCCAGCGGCCGCCCAAGGGCTATTCGCGCTTCGATTCTCACCCCCATCGCTGGCCTTGGACGGCGCCCTGGGCAGCAAGCGTGACAGCATGGGCATCTTTGGAACTGATCTTTCGGAGCTGTACCACGACGCCGTGGCCGTTGTTCACAAAGCCCTGGCCGGTCCCCCAATCTCCTTCCCAAAGGTCATCATCTACGTGACGGACCTCTCGCACGCACACCAAAACGCCAGCATCAAACATGAACCGTTTCGAGAGGCAGTCGAGGCTTTCCTGGGAGTAAAGTCGACGAGGCTCAGCTTGACGCGGACGTGGGCGTCGAAACCGCCGGTAGAGGCCAACGGCCAAGGTCTTGACGAGTACATGAAAGACGTAAGGACTCGGTCCTCACTCACAGATGCAGCAAGCTGAAGGCACCGTTTCGCGTAGGCCCCGTTCCTCTCGTTCTGCTACGACTTCTACCACGACTTCGACAAGTTCCGCAGCGACTACAAAGCAAGGTTCGGCAAGGACGCTGCCACAGAAGCAACCGTCACGTACAGATGGTGCGTTGAGTTGCACTCGCATACCGACACGGTCATCCCTCGGTACTGACGGTGTGCAGGGACTGGGGGAGCAACGTCACGAAGCAGGCATACGACGAGTACCAGACTCGGCTGGACGTCTTTCGAAGGTGGTTCGGCACCACCATCATGTCTATGGACAGCGGCGGCGATGCTGTTCTCGTCGCTTCGTATCCAAGCCAAGCTCCCGTCTATGATGCGCCGTGCGTTTCTATGCCCCCTGCTGTGCGGACCGTTGCTTGTGCTAAATGATTGACCAGGAGACCCGGCAAGATCCATGGCTTCACGCCCGACCTACTTGCTTCTGTGCTGGGCGCCCCTCAAATCCTGGCACCATGTATGTTTCTCCAAGCAAGATTTGATCGCGTCACTGACAATCCAAGTTGCCCAATTCGAGTACCGCTCCAAGGTCAGCGGTCAGCCGGAACATCACCCGATATACGGCGCCATTCTCGGCCCCAGGGGCAGCGATGCGATGCTTGTGAAACTGGCAGAGGCGGCGTTCCAGCAGGCACAATGGCGGACAAAGGTTGACAGGGGGAGGTATGCGTTTGCGCCGGCACAGGATTCCGGGAAGGCGGATGGCAGGCCAGACAAGCAGCCGCCCGGCTCGCTGGAGGCTGCGCGGAAGGCCCTTGGATTGCCATGATTCGGCTTGGATTTGTGTTTCGGAGGAACAAGGCCGTAATGCGATGGCAGCGAACAGTGAATCATGCTGGGGAGATTGACTCGCAGGCCCGCGTGTTGCTTCATCCGTTGCGGAGGGCAGAATGTCAGACCAAGCAGCCATAGTTCCTGTCAGTAGGTAGGAACACATCGACTGGTCATTTCCATGCTTGGCCGTGCGGCTGCCGTGTTTTGTTCCTGTTTGGCCAGGACCTGTTGCACTTTGGATACTGGCCACGCTGTCTGTCCACGACTGTGGTTTGACCGCGGGCAGCTTCTCATGGTATAGGCACTGTAACATTTTCTCATTAGGAACCTTAGTCCGATATGCCCTTTCCCACGCTACCATGGATCCATGACATTTGTTTTCTCCCCGGCTTGACTAGAGTTTCCGACTTACTTCTGTTATCGAGGACCTCGTCAAACCCCCTTGACCCAGCGTCGTCTCCGTCGGTAAAAATTCTGTGCTTATGAGCAGGGCCGTCATGCCATCAACGGTCAGGAGTACTGCACGTTGAGTCGTCGATAGCCTTGAGCTGTTGCTTTGCATGTGCCCTTTGTTGGTATTCCGCCTGTACCAGATTCCCCAAGATGCGATCCATGCGTTTCCTGTCCTGTAGGCCTGCAACACCACCGTCATGCGTAAACACGGTTTGTCTTCTACTGAGACACGGCATGGCTTGCAGCGTTTCCGTCGACAACATCGCGTCGCTCAGCTGGGGCAGAGACGATGGACTGCTGGCAGCGGCTTCTGGCGATAATTCGCTTCCAAAGGACGGCCCAACCCAGTGTAGATAATCTCCGGGCACACCTGGCGCCGCGAAAGCCAAGGCAGGCTCGAATGCCCCCGACACGGGCCAGGAAAGGCCGTAGTAGTCGACTGGTTGGGGGGCCGCAGCATCCGCAGGAAGACGTTGACACCACGGCCCTGGGCTGGAGCATCGCCGGGCCCATCCTCGGGCGGCCGTTGGCTCGGCATACTTGCGCTTTGGATTTCGCGTCGGCCGAGGCTGCTCGGGAGCATTGGCCGACGCGGCTTTGTGCAAAGTTTTTCTGACCATGGTGATGTATGTGATGTATGTGCTGGATATGGCGGGTTCGAAGCCCGGACTGCGGACTTGGGCAATGGCAAGAGTGCCTTTGTATTAAAGGGCCCAGCTTTCGCAGGCCGCCATTGACTCCCTGCCAACGTCATGCCGTCCAAGATGGCGGTGGCGAAGTTGTGGACAGTCCTTTGTGCGCCGCAGTTGTCTCCCAAGCCACGACATCACCATGAGTCCATACGTCTGCCGCAGTGCCTAGAATCTAGATTCCCGTGGGACAGAAAGGCATCTTGAGTTGGAGCTCCCAATCAAGGGTCTCCCGGGAACAAAGCCATGGATGGGGCTTGGTCCCACCAGTTCGGACGAATGACCGTTTTGGATGCAGATTCTCACCGTCTCAGAGGCTGATGATGAGACGAGTGACGTGGCTCAGAAACACGTGCGCCTAGTGGCTGGACCACGGCGCTGCTCCCGAGCGTTGTGTTTAGGAACAAGCTCTGACGAAATGTCCACGCGTTTAAAGTACCTGGGTGGCGAGCTCCACGGCGCATGCTCCGGATCCGCGACCCAATAATACACGCACAAACCAAGGCAGGGCTGAACCGCCACGAGCCTTGACGTCAACGGCTGGGACCCCCATGTCCAAGCTTGTATAACCCATTGACAGCAACGATGCCTGGTCATCAACTGGAGCAGAAGGCGTCGTTATACCGTCATCACAGCAGCTCGCTCGCGGATACAAGGTCAAGGAGCTCCTTGGGTGGTCACCAACCGGGGCTATAAGAGAACAACCACAAACCCAGCCTATGAATTGTATCAGCAATGCAATGACCCCCGATTACCTGAGACTGCGGCTGAGACGGAAAGTACATTGACGATTCCTCAACCCACCTGGGCGGTGTCGTCTGCTCACCTTTTGCTACATGGTATGTGGTTGATTGGCTGACGCTTGTGCCTTGGTAGAATTCTATGATATGCCAAACGCGGAAATGGAGGTTTCAGACGGAAACGTGTCTCAAGCTTTGAAAAGATGTCTGGATCCTGCGCTGTTGGATTCCACAGAGGCTGGGTTTTTTCAACCCGAGTCCAATTGGTCGCCGGATGAGGCTGCGCCATCGTGGCCATCATTTGGTGCTTCGCCCATGATGCCGATTCAGCAGGCAGCGTCTCTTGGAGACCACCATCCCGGCGAGACAGGCACGCGTCCGCAAGTTCGGGACTGGCCGATCCAGGACCAGGCTTTGCCAGACGACGCGAGCAAAAGGAGGCCGCAAAGTCCTCACCAACAGGACCGTTCGGTGAGAGTTGTGACCCGCGCAAGGTCCAAGCAGAGATCGCCGTCCGGTGCAACCGACAGCCCCCCCAAAAGACAGAGGCAATCGAAGTCCAAGGAGGCGGGAACAGAGGGCGGCAGCGTACATGCAGATGCCGAGGATGCTACTCATCGCCAAGGATCTCTCGAGCGCAACCGCATCGCTGCTTCCAAGTGTCGAAAGCGCATGAAGAAATGGGTTCATGATCTCGAAAAGAGGAACTCTGGGCTGGAGAAGCGCCACAAAGATCTCCAGATAGAGTATCTCTACCTCGTGCAGGAAATATCCGAGCTAAAGAACTACATCCTAGGCCATGCGAGCTGTCGCGATCCTAACATTGACACGTGGCTCGACAACGAGGCTTCAAAGTACGTGTGCAACTGACAAGACGACAGCCCAAACGGCATTCGCCAACCAGCGTCTCTGCCGAGACGTCCAGGCGCTCCGCAGGGTAGTATACCGAATCGAGCAGAACAGTTGTTGATCATCCGGTGGCTATGTATCTCACGAATGCAGATGTACACTACGTCAACGTCCATAACCCGGCTGTCGTGGGAGATTATTAGCCCACGGGGCCGTCAAACTGTTCCATACAATATGGCGCAATTCGAGAAAAAGAGATATGCGGAGAGTCCAACTACTCGACAGCCGCCTTCATATAGTGGACGACACGTTCCGCTACCGATGGCTTGGCTTGTGGACATGAGAATGACGAGCATTACAAAGATGCTCTGCGCAGCCAGAAACGTGGCATGCCGCGAGCACAGTCATGGAGCAATCGTAGGGTTGGGGTTGTTCGTACTCGAGCAAAGTCGATTTCTACTACGAGTTGACAGCGACGATCACGTGGTCGGCCACTCCAAATGTCCACTTTTGGCTCCACAATTGACGTGTTGCTAAAACGTGGCGCGGGGCATCCTGGAGATCCAGAAGGAAATTAAAAATACCAGACCTTCAATTCTGCAACTCCAACGTTCCACATCGGCGACCCCAGACAGCCGCCCACCATGGCCAAAAGCAAAGGTGCACACACACACACACGCATGGCCAAAGACGCACCCAGGCCGCCTCGTCTCCCATGAATCCATCCCACTAACCGCAAATCCCAGGGCCGTCAAAACACTCCCGCGCCGCCCGCCGCGCCACATCGCCCTCCATCGACACAGACAAGTCCCTCAAGGACATGCCGCTCCCGAAACGCACCACGGCCATGACGCCGAGGCCTTCGGTGCTCGCTGTTCACCGCGCAGCCGGCGTTTCGAAAAAGGTCAAGCCCGCGCGCAAGTCCCGCATGACGAGCAAGATGCGCAAACGACACGAAAGGGGACTAGAGATGGCGGAAGCCGTTACAGAGAGGACAGGCAAGAAGATTGAAAGGAGCATCGGGCGGGCGAAGGGCGTCCAGAGGAGGAGCCGGGCCTGGGAGGACATCAACAAGGACGCCGTGGGAGGGGGCCAGGCGGATGCACCGAGCGGCGGGAGTCGCTTCGGGGCGCTGATGGAGGACGAGGCTGCTGACGACCACGACGAGAGCGACGGGCCTGGGGACGACGGGGACGGGTTTAATCCGGCCAACCCGGGGGCCGGCACGGCGGCTGCTGATCTGGACGATGACGACGATGACATTCTATGACGGAGCGGCGGGGGCCCTTACTGTTTATTTGTTGAGGAATGAGAATATGCCCGGGTAGTCAAAACGATTCGGCGTTTGGTGGATGTTATGAAAGAAGAGGGGACAATGGTGACTTTCAAATCAGAGCTCGATAGAGGGGACACATTCGGTAATCGACGTGAAATATACTCCTATGCCATGCGTTTTATGCTTCCCTCCTGCCAGCACCGTCAAAAAACGCTCTTGGTCACGGCATGTCGCCAACCGCCTCCGGTCACAAGAAGCCGCGCCGAGACGCATTGACGGACGCCCCGAGGCAGCCCGGCTACTTCTGCCTCCCCTCCAAATACAGCCTATATGTCGCCCCTACGACGCCTGACGCGCCCTTGGCCTCCCTGCCGCCAATCCTGTCAACCTCGTGCCGGATCCTCCTCAGGACGCCCTCGGCCTCCTTGGCGTCAACCTGCCTGCCGCCCTTCTTCCTCGCCACGAGAAGCTCCACCTTCATCCCCTTGTCCAGGAACTGGCCCATCTGCCGCATCTTGGTGGCCAAGTCGTGCTCCCCAATCGCCCACGTCAGCTCCAGCTCCTTGGTCTTGGGCTTCCCCGCAGCCGCCTTCTTCATCTCCCTGAGCTGTCTCTGGCGCTCATACTCGTCGCGCTTGTTGACGATTTTGCAAACGGCCAGCTGCGCACTGGGGCGGTTGTTCTTGGGATCCGCCGGCACGTACGGCTGCACCATGCGCAGCGACTCGTGGGCCTCGAGCTTGGTGAGGACAAAGGAGGTGGCGAGGGGCCCCTCGGGGGCGCCGTCGTCCACGACCATGATCTGCGGGTCGGTGATCTCGTGGTCCTGCGGCGGCCGATCGCGTCCCGAGCGCGCAATGTCCTGCTGCGTCGTGAAGCGCGTGTCGAAGCCGCGGCCCTCGCGGGCGAGCTGGTCGGCCGCGGCGACGGAGGTCTGCCCTCGGGGCCCGCGCGCGGGAGGTTTCGCCGCAAACCTGCGGGTCTGGCCTGCTGCGAGGGCATCGTTCCCGTGTGGTCCTGGCGCCGGGAGCGTGGCGGACAGCTGCGGCCGCGACAGCGACGGCGACGCGGTCGAGAGAGCCGGTCCCTGGGCCGGGGACACGAAGACCCGGTAGAGCGCCCGGCGGGAATCGTACACGCACGGGGGCACCCGTCTCATCGTGGCGGCGTGCGAATGGTGCGTCGCGGCTCTCTGTTGAAGGCCGGCCGCGTCTTGGGGATTGCAGGCGACAGGCGAGAAGTTGTCAACGTCGTGTCGAGACTTGGAGCTTTGAGGTTCGAGTGAAAACCCAGACGAGCGTCGTGGCAGCTCCCCCACCCAGCCAATAGCAGGCGGCGGCCGGGCGCGGCAGATTCAACCGCTCCACCTCCCACCAGGCATTCGCATCGCGCATGCCTCACTCACCTCGACGCTTGAGTCCCAGACATCCGCATCCGCATCCGCATCCGCCATTCAGCCCAACTACCCCTGCCGACGCACGATCCGCGTCCCCGACACCAATGCAAACCACGAACCCTTCCCTCCCCCGGAACCGAAACCAATGTTCGCGCACATCCTCGGCCACCCTATCCGCTTCGTCCTGTCAACCGCCAAACTGACATGCCTCGCCCACCTCACCTTCACCCAGGTCGTCCAAGTCTCCTCCGCCCAAGGACCCTCCATGCTGCCCACCTTCACGGTAGACGGGGACTGGATCGCCGCCGACATGCGCCACCGTCTAGGCCGCGGCATAACCACCGGCGACCTGGTTCTGTACAAGATACCCATCCTCGCGGACCAGAACGGCGTCAAGAGGGTCGTCGGCATGCCAGGGGACTACGTGTCGCTAGGCACCCCCGGGGAGAACGGGGAGGACCAAATGATACAGGTACTGTCACGTTTGCTGCCGCCCGGTTCTCTCGAGAGGAATGCACGGATTGACGTGGTCGTGGACAGGTTCCCCAAGGGCACTGCTGGATAGTCGGCGACAACCTGTCGGCCTCGAGAGACTCGAGGCTGTTTGGGCCATTGCCGCTCGCTCTCATCCAAGGCAAGGTCGTTGCCAAGGTCTTGCCCTGGCGAGAGAGAAAATGGTTCGACGGCGGACTTGAGCGCGTAGATCGTCATTAAAGTCCAACTGTCACATTGTGATCCGACATTGATTGATGCATTCTCAAGCACGGCGTTATGGGTTCATCCTGACCACGCGATACATAGCCTCAGAGGACGTGTGGATGGACACAATTGGGTATAAAGAAATTAAGTCTTGTAAACTTTATCTAATTATAGCTGCCGCCTGAATGCTTTGCCCCCGCACATTCATCTCCTGTAAAAGAAAAATTGCAAATTAAAAAAAAAAAAAAAAGGAAAAAGAAAAGGCAGGCACAAGAAAAAAGACAACAATGAAGCAAGAACAAAAACTCAATGCTGGGCTAATAAACATCCTTCGCCAAATATGCTTTGTACAAAGACGAGTGACTCCGAGCTGCCTCCCAACCACAAAACTACCTTGCGCCCGCGGCAAACGCTTCACTACCCGCCTCGCGAGACAGTTGCAGCGCAGAGAGAGAAGAGATGATGGATACAACGAAACAGGGCTTCATCATGTCGAAGATTGGGAGTTGAGGGTGAACAGCGTATGAGAGAAACCATGCCTCTCGCAAACCCACGTTGTAATTGGATACAACAGCCCAGACGCCTCGAAAAATACCCCACGGCTTTACAATACTATCGGCCGCTTTAACCCGGTAACGGTTGTGTACACTACCAAAGACAATGGACGGTTGGCGGCGCCGTCTGCATGATTTAGCCTTCAATGTGAGCTTTGGACATGCTCTGTCCCAGCAATTCCAGGCAACGTTGAGCCAAATTAACCACTTCGCCTTCGTCTTCGTCCTCAAACTCGGGCTCGGCTTCGACCTGCCGGTTTGCAATCGCTCGAACGTTTTCAATAATGTCGTTGGCCTTGCCGATGTGGCCAATCAAAGTCTTGTCTTCCGACTCGAACAACTGCAGCAAAGTCCAGACGGCGATGTGCTGGAAGGTGGCGTCGCCGGATTGCAGAAATCGGCCAAGATATCCGTGAATGCCTCCATTTGGATCATTCCAATTTTGGACGAAAATTGAGTAGTCGCCAACTATACATTCCGCATGAGTACAAGACCGATAGAACAATGAACCATCATCTCTTAATTGGACCTACCTTTAGAGGACAAGTTACCCAAAGCCGCAGCACTGTTGCCTTGAACCTCAATACTGGGCGAATGAGTCAAAGGTATGAGGACGTCGCACACTCCCAGATTGAGCAGATGTGATTTGAGATCGTCGCTAAGAGCCAAAACCGCAATAGCGGCCGTCATTTCCGACTGTACTGTCACAGGCACATCAAGCACCAGCTGTTTACATTTTTGGACAGCGCCAGCGTCCAACACCAGGGCCTTGTTCCGGTCCGAGCTGGCTGCCAGATTTCGCAGAGTGGAAATAGCGTGGCATTGAATCTCTTCGTTGTCGGTGGATCCAAGCAAGTCGACCAGGGGCTTGAGGAAGTTGGCGTCAATGATGGGCGATTCGTTCATTGGGTGTATCGAGATATTTCGTATGCAGGCCACAGCGGACAAGATCAGGGGAAGGTAAGATGACTGAAGCAGACGAAGGAGCGGGTGCAAGCCTTGGACTCGCACAATCTCAATTTGGTACTTTTCATCGGACGCTAGGTTTCGCAGGGCCAACGCCGCCTGACATTGGACCTTTGGAGATGACGAGTCCATTAGATGGACCAAAGATTGGACGAGTTTAGGTTCGGTGGACGATAGTTTTCGTCTGTTGTTGGCGTCAACGGCAATGTTGCTGAGGGCCGTAGTGCAGTAGTACTGTACGTCGACATCGGGAGAAGAGAGGAGCTGAACTAGGACGGGGATAGCGCCGGCATTAACAAGCTGCTGTCGGTTCTCATCTGTGGCGTTTGTCCGCGTCAGCAAGCTGTGTAGGAGAGGCTGGAGGGATGTGAGTGCAGAAATGTCTACAGACATACCAGAATGGGTCATGTTGAGCAGAGCCCCGGTAGCGTTCCGCTGCACGCGCATGTCTCGGGATTTCGCAAGCCTCGTCAGCGGGCCAAGAGCACCAGATCTGGCAATCTTTGCCTTGTTTTCTTCATGTGTAGCCAAGTTGGTGATGCATCCTACGGCATTGCACTGTACTTCGACATTTGGCGAAAGCATCTGCCGGATGAGCGGCGTTAATCCTCCAAGCTGGACGATCAATATCTTGTTCTCGGCTACAGGGGATAGGTCAGTGGTAGCGCTTGTGGTTGGGTCTTTGTTAAGGCACATACTGTTGACGGCAAGGTTGCCTAGGGCGGCACTAGCGGCTCTCTGAACTTCTATATCGGGGCTTTGCAACAGGAAGAGAATAGGTTCGAGCGTGTCTCGGTCAACCTCTCGAACATCTGCGGCGCGGGTGTTAGCACGGGGCCGCGAGGGCAGACGAGCCCAGCTTCTGCCAAGGGACGCGAAGCATGCCTACCTCGCTCGGTGATTTCGGCAAAGGTAAGGCTTGCACTGCGCTGCAGGTCTATGTTTTCCGAAAAGACCAAGGTACTTAGGGCCCGAAGTGGTTCACCGGAAAAGAAGTTTATCTCTCCACGCTGCAAGATCAGTCAGCATGGCAAGACGAAGACGGTGTCGTAGCATTCTGGCGGCTAGATACGAACGTTTTCGAGATATTGTAACAAGTCGGCAACGGCCTCGCGCTCGCTATCAGCCAGAACAGGCTCGTACAGGCCTTCACGGGACCGGCCTGGCATACGTCGCGTCAATGACTGTTCTCGTAAACACCCAGGCAGAGGGCGCGGGACAAGGGAGCAAACCGCGTACCTCCACAGCATGATGAGCTGCAGTTACCCATGGCGGGGATGGCAAAGGGCGTGCACCAACTCCGGACGGCAGTGGGTGGAAGGATTCTGCTGTTGAGATGTCCTTGGTTGTCGTGGTCGCTACTGTTGATGATGACGACGACGAGGATGCGGGCTGTGATGTGCCTCAGAATCCGAGCAACAGCCGGTTTGTTCCCAGGGTCAGGTCCGCCGCAGGTCGGCAAGCACCTGCTGCCCTTGGTACCTCGAGGGCGTATGGGTCAGGCCCGGCTGAAATGGATGGCAAGGCGGCGTGACGGGGGGGACCGAGCGAGACTAACGATCTCTGGCGGTGGCTGGCAAAATTGAAAAGGTGAAGCAGATTGGCGGGGGCTGAGAATGGTATGTGGACGAGCAAGTTTGGTGTTGATTATCAGGACTGGAACCGGAATTAACTGAGCTTCAACTTGTTCATGTTGGCAGTGGCACGACTTGATGGCCGGCGGGCGGACGTGGGTTGACGGGGGGAAGCTGGGGCTTGCTGGGGCACGAGGCATGGCGCTAGGCCCAACTGGGCACAGTCGAGTGCCCTGCCAACAGCTGGGTGGCTCGATGGTGGGAGCGGAAACAACATTAGAAGTCGAGATCCGTTTGCCATTGGACCACTCGCCAATCTATCCTCGGCAGGTAGTCTGGTTGATGGCACGCAACACACAGTGCTGGTGTTTTTATTAATTTGCCTAGGTGCCTATTTTCGCGACTCATTACATGCTACTCGCGGGGCATCTATCTGCCCTCAATCCGCCCTCAGCCGTCGAGTTGAGTTGACCTTGCCTTGGCTAGCGCGCCATGCCACCAGGGCGCTGTTTCTCAAATGTTGCCTGAAGACCGCCAGGCTCATCGAATGTCGTCGTCCACTTACTACTTACTTCAGGTGTTGGCAAGATACAATCAATGGTATCTGATGCAGCGCAATCAATACCGTGATTGAATCGGTTGTCAAGGTGCTCGCTTCGACTTGGCGCAGATGCGTCCCTGTCACCTCGTGTCTTCTTGGTGGCATTGGAGAATACCATTTTACACGCCTCGCAGACTATGGCGAGAGGGCGCGCGCCAGATCACTTCACCACGTATCCAAGTGTCGGGTGCGTGGCCCCATCTCACCATACTTGCCTCCACCATGACAATCTCAACTAATTTCTTTGTTTCGTTCAGGAGCCACCCGCGAGAGGACGGCGGTGCTGTACTGCGAGCCAAGCTAACGCCGAGGGCATCACGGAGGAAGTTGCTGTGCCCAACATGACCCCTTCACAATATGCACTTGAATGAGGTATTCTGCAGTGCGGTCGATCACCGAGTACAGTACACCATCTCGTCATCGTGCCGCCACTACAACTACAACCCCACCCCTGGGCACATGTCATGCTGGTCGCCTTCGCCAGGGTTGTACTGGACGCAGCCCGGAGGACACACCTAAAACGCGTCTGACGTCGACCTTTGCCCCTCGTCGGCGCAGGCTAGGCAGTTGGTGGCCTCTGATGGCGAACTTGACGCCATGACGCGATAAATTGTTACGCATGTACATGACCGTATGGCCCATGTGACTGTACGAACAAGGGTGTGTCCATGTGAGCGGGTGATACTACACTACACCACTCTACGCTGCAGCCGGTTTGACATGGACGGACCACGATTACCTCTGGTAAAACCTCAAGGCCCAGCATGGTGTGAAAGTCAAGGTGGCTGCTAGTGGTGGGCGAAAGATGCACCATCAACTTGGCGTTTTACAAGGTAGATACCAAGAAAGAACAACAACCGCGCGGGCTTCGGTAGATCACGGCATGTGCCGGAGTTGATGCTGTTTCATCTGGTGGAAGAACTGCTCTTGTAGACCTGTTGTCCCGCTGCGGTCTGCTGCGACAGGTCGACGAGCCGGAGTGGCAGTCTAGGGTAGGGTAGGATGAATGCCCCGGCTATTTCTGTGAATTAAGCTACTCCGTATGAGCCTATGAAACGCCAAGCCATGGCTTGGGGCTCTCCTAGCACCCACTCCGGAGCGCGGCAATACGTACCTTTTTCTCTCCCTCGATGCTGTGAGCTGGGGAATTCTGATGCCGTTTGAGCCCGAGTCCAACCGTCAATCTGGGACCCCACCAGGGTACTCGCGCAGAGCGAGCTCAAGAACCTACCTAGGGTACCTGGGTACCTAGCTTAGCTTAGCTGCTTAGGAACAAGTCGACTGGTGTCTGGATTTCCCCTCCCCGTCCCCCTCCCGTCACCATCCTGCACTTGCTCGACCATCACCAAGACGCCGGGCCAACGGCTGCAAACTAAGTCTCTGGTCCAAAATTTGGACTGCCCGTGACCCCAGAGGCACACCACCACGCGCCATTCACGGGGCACACAGCCGTCTGATACATCGAATGGACGAAAGAGATGCCGCAGCGGCGCGCCCTAGCGCCCAGCCTGCCGTCGACCCCACGCAGACCAATGTCGAAGCCCAGAGTTGTGCGTCTCGTGAGCACGTCGCAGGCGCCCTGTCTGGGCCGGCACCTCTCCTTGGGTCTGGACCATGCGTCGAAGAACCACCTCCACCAGCACAACCACCAACGGCAGCAAGAGCACAAGCACAAGCATCAAATCCCACGACTCGGTCGAATACCTCGGCGCCTGTTCCTGGTGCTCCCCGTCCTGCTCCCGCTCCCGCTCCCGCTCCCGCTCCCGTTCCAGCTCCCGGCCACAGGCACCGTCACGAGCAACCCGCCCTCCGTGTGCCTCGTTTCGTCGCTCCCTCTTCGTATCTCCGTTTCAAGACCTCGCACGGCAGCGCCATGGCTGCAGCTGCATCTCAGCCGACCTCGAATCCGAGTACACCGAGCCCGCCGAGCCCGCCGAGCCCGCTTGATAAGGAGCAGCGGCAAGGACTGGTATGGACCGTCCGCTTTATGCCTCCCAAACTCTCTTGACACTCCGCCTCGGCAATTCCATTCCTGTATCTAGCGAGGCCCTTCCCGGCGTCGCACAAGGGCTAACTGTCTCCCCCAGAAAGCGATTCGGGATTTTCTCAAGGTTCGAACCAGCTATGATGTCTTGCCGCTATCCTTCCGTCTCATCGTCTTGGACACCGACCTCCTTATCAAGAAGACACTTAATATCTTGATACAGAACTGTGAGTGTGCCTTTGGCGCCTTTTGCCGTCCGTGACTGTTCAAGACAGCGCAGCCAACTGCTCCGTCTCGGGCTAATTTGCTCCGCGTTAGCAATCGTTTCTGCGCCATTATGGGACTCACAGAGAGGCCGTTTTGCTGGCATATTGACAGCCACCGATTACATAAACGTCATTCAATATTACTGCCAATACCCAGGCGAGATGAGCAAGCTTGACCAATTTCGGTTGAGTAGTCTACGAGGTGAGACTCTTCCGCATGGATTACCCGAAAGTCGGGCCCCGCCGTATCCATGCTAAAACAGCATGGCTTAGATATCGAAAAGGCGATAGGGGCAACTCCGATTGAAACGGTATCTGTCCATCCTTCTCGACCGCTTTACGAGGCTTGCCGACGTATGCTTAAGACTCGTGCGCGACGTATTCCCCTCGTGGATGTGGACGATGAGACGGGCAAGCAGACGGTCATATCGGTCATTACTCAATACCGAATTCTCAAGTTCATCGCCGTCAACAACGAACATAACACGGTGATGCTCAAAAAGACGGTTCGAGAGATTGGCTTGGGCACATATTTGGACCTGGCCACCATGCGCATGGATAATACGGTGCTGGATGCTATCCACCTGATGGTCGATAGAAACATCAGTTGTATTCCGATTGTAGACTCGGAGAACCGGGTCCTCAACGCTTTTGAGGCAGTCGACGTCATCCCCTGCATTAGAGGGGGCGCATACGAGGAACTCGATGGATCCATCGGGGAGGCACTATGTAAAAGACCAGATGACAGCCCCGGTATCTACACCTGCGGGGAAGGGGATCGACTGGATTCATTGTTCGATACGATACGGAAAAGCAGAGTACACAGACTGATTGTCATCGACGACGAAAACAAGCTCAAGGGCGTCATTTCACTCTCTGATATTCTCAAATACGTACTCATTCACGGGGAAGAGGACTCGTCACAAAGGGAAAGGTAGCGGAGATATGCGGTGGAGAGTGTTTGGACAGACGACGCGGCGGCATGACATGCCTACATTCAGTCATGGAGGCTGCATTGGAGGAAAAAAAGGATAAGAGGGTCACCAGATACCCTTTCTTGTTTCTTTTTCTTTCTGTTTCTCTCCATCTTTGTTTTTTTATTTTTTTATTTTTTATTTTTGTTTTTCGTTCGGCGCACTGAGTTGGAATCGAAATAGTGACACCACTGATCTATGCAGGGAAAGAGAAAATTGTTTTATACGTCATGATACACGGCGGTTTGCGGATTCTGGTGCACGTATGTTGTCAGCTGGTTTGCTGACATCTGTTCGTGTAGAACCTGGAGATTTAGTAGTTATTACTTGAATACTATAGCTATTAATACTTGATAACGAAAACCCAACACAACTTGCCTCATGCGAGCAATCTCCACCAGGCGTTGCATTGAGATCGGACCGGCATCTTTTCTTCCACTGCGGGATGACGTGTCAACAATAAGCGCCCCGGTGCTTGAGTACCGGATTAGCGCCGTCCTAAGGTACCTCTGTACCTCTGTTGATGGACAAGAGAGGATGGCGGAAGGAAGGAAGGAAGAAAGGAAGGCAAAAAGGAATCAAGCTACCAGTAGACGTTTGTTTTTGGTGTTGGAGTGACCGGCCGTTTGCCAGTCACCCGCCAATCATGCCAGCTGGCAACGCCTGCAACGCCTGCAACGAACATTCATTGCCCAAACACGACAAACACAGCATCAGCACGTGAGTATGCAATCATCACCACCCAGGTATTCATTCCAACTCCGACAAAATTTACCAAGTATCCCATGGCTCACCCACTCGGGACCTCGCAATCATCCCAGAATCTGCGTGCCTGGGCTGCATACCACCCACGTCAACTGCCACCTTCTGCGAGCTCGGTCTCTCTGTTGCTTCCCCAGAGCGCTAGTTACCATAGCTTCGGCCACGGTAGCAGAGTAAGGAGTAGTGGTACATGGACCACCAGCAGCGGTGAGCTCGGTCTCCTCAGTAATGCGGATGAGGTAGACGATAGGGATGTGTTTGTTCAGGAGTACAACAGACTAGCAAAGAAGGTGAGGTACCAAATGCTGCTTCATACGACAGTGGACCGTCAAGACTGACAAAGTCATGTAGCATGGAGTAAGACAGTTAATCAGTGATGACTTCAACGCTCACCAACAGGTAGGCCATCGATAAATCCACGGATCTTGTACCGTACGTCTCATGCATAGCACTAGGGAGATGTGACGCGATGCCCAGAAAGGCGAAGCTGGCTTTCGAGACTTCTTCGGTCGAGTCCTAGTCCATGCCCTCCTAGTGCTTTGACATCCCCGCCGCCTCCACAGATGCGACACAAACGAAGCGTTTCCGAACTTGCACATATAATACACTGCAGACGGGAGGCCCCGAGGACCATTGAAATCCAAGACATGGTGAGGCTCAGCGGCAAAAGCATGCTTTATCTTCCTCAAGAGTACTCACCGTGTTCTCTCATTCTACCAACCTGCGTCAGAGCAACGGCGCAATATTTGGCTCAAAACGTTGCCACTCGAGGGTTGTTTCGCGTACCAGGGTCTTCAAAAGTTATAAGCGCTTTGTTTGACTACTACTGTTTTGATAATAGGAATGCCAACATCGCAAGCACTGTGCGCTGCGCGACCTTACCTCTACACATACAGTATTCCGCTCATGACGTGGCGTCTACCTTCAAGCGTTTGCTCTCTGTACTGCCGGGGGGGATTCTGGGATCACTGGCTCTGCTGGACGCATTGATAGCTGTCCACTCGCAGCTAAATGGAGAACCAGAATATCCTCGAACAAAACAAACGAAGGTCAGGGCACGTTTGATTGCTTTGGCAATCGGTACCATCAAATCGCAGTATCGCAGAGAAATGATTTGCGCTGTATTCGGCCTGTTAAGCCTTATTGGCCGGATGGCGGAAGTTGCTCCTCGGGAAGACGATGATAGTAGACCTCTTCCAACGGCCGATTTGATGGGTTACAATGCACTGGGAATTGTGTTTGGACCATTACTGGTCGGAGACCTGCTAGATCAATACACCATGAAGGTTGCAACCCCGAACACTGGATTGCTCGTATTTCCGTTAAGTCCTCCACGATTTCGAAGAGAACGACGCAAGCCGACTCAGCTCGATGCCAAATCCTCAGGGCCGCCGACTGTTGACAAGATACTGGTGGCCAACAGCATAACAGAAATGCTAATCGCCAACTGGAGAGATGTGGTCCGCCAGATGAAATCCCTCGGCACGCACTGCCGGAAGGATACATCTCTCGTGGACCTGGTAAGCAAAGACGAAAAGCCGCCGTCTCCACAGGGATCTACCTTGAGAGCTCATCAGAACTGTGATGGAGGAGACAATGGAATAAGGAGAGACGAAGGCAATGAGCGTCGCGAAGTGTTTGAACCCCCGGTGCCTGGACAAAGGAAGCGACGACTGAAAGTTCTCAGGCGATCTACGTCTCAAAGGCTAAACCCAAAGATGAGCTTTGCCACATTGAGTCCCACGAAGGAAGAAAGCATGGGAGACGACGAGTCAACTGACGAAAACGAAAACCGCCAGATCAAGGAGAGTGTCATTCAACGACTGCAGAAAGCCAAAGAAAATCGAAAATACAATAAGGCTGCCAAAGTACCCAATACTGATACACTATGCCACGATGCTGTAGAAGGCGGGCCGCGTTCTGGCCCTCGTCTGTCAACTGCCGAGGACAATATTGCGCCTGAAGTTGTTTCGGGTACAGAGCACGCACAAGTATACCTAGAGAGTGTCCCGCCCAGGGAATCATCGAGAAATGCGGCGTCACACGATGGAACAGACATATCTTTGCGACAAACGACCTCACAGCGAAGCGTGAACTCGGCAAGATTGTTGGATGATATTGCGTCTGACTCCAGTCGCTCTACGCAAACACCAAGGACAAGACGGCTATCACTGACGTCTAGTGTGCGAAGCGAAACCCCAAAGCCACCTCCAGGTCGAACGAGCCCGGTTTCGCCATCGTTGATTTGCCCAACAGTGATGCCTGAAGGGGGCATCCGGCTTGTCCAACAAACACCTGCCCAAAATCCTAAGGCCGAGCTCATGCGAAACGGGCGTGCCTCTCCTGGTATTGGCGCGTCATACGTGTCTCAAGACCAGGGCGTTCAGTGCGATATGCTTCCGGAGAGCAAGGCACGGCATTCGATCGACGTTACTCCTGAACGCTTCTACACGTATGGGAAGGTGCTGGGAAACGAGGCCAGGATGTCTCTGGACAGTATACAGCAGCTCGCGACCAGACAAAAACCGCGTGCTGTAATACCCCAACCGAGACTGTCGAAGTCACATGAGAACTTGAGAGGCCAAACAACAGTCATGCGGCAATCGCCAATAGAGTCTACTGAGTCCAAGGGCCTAAGCAAACGTGGGTCTGTAAAAACAATGGCGGCAATGTTCGAAACACAAACCACTGGCCGGCAATCACCAAGCGTTACGGAAGACGCAGCTGAAGCAAGAAATGACAGCAAAAGGCAAACTCGAAAGAGACATTCGAAGTCGGATTCGGCGTGGACGCATCACGTCTTTGATCCGATGATTGAATCAGGGCAGGAAAACCCTGGGGGAAGTACGGCAAGAGGTCACCCAACGGAGCTCCACCAAGTTTTCAGAGGAATACTTAATGATGGGCTTAAAGGAGCAGGCTTGGAACGCGAAGTAGAGGGGGGCTTCCAGGATGCCACGAGCTATAGCCCTTCCAAGTTGCTTGGAAGGGCGGGAACCGGGACGGTGGATGAGAAGGCGCTCAAGGCAGTTCCAAGCTTGGGCACCATGGTGCCTTGCCGCGAACAACCGCCCGTCGCGCATCACTTGAATTTGGCTCGACCGGCCTCGTCGCCATCTCCGATGCAGGAACCGGAGCTTTACACGGTGATGGACATTGTTTCGACGACACAAACACCCCGACCTCGAAGTGCTACCGTTCTCTACACCCAGATCCGCAATCTTCAACGGCAGTTGAATTCAAAGACGGAAGAAGCAGCTCAATTGAGAAGGCAGCTCGAGGCACAAAAGGACTCCGACGTTGGGACTGTCAGCGAGCAACTGAGACAGGCGAAGAGGGCTGTTGCGACGTGGAAAGAAAGAGCCGAGACGGCTGAGCGGAGGGTCAAAGTGTTTGAGAAGTTTGTTGAGAAGCTGAAGGAAATCCGGGACGCCATCGCAGATTCAAATCCTTACGAGGCGGGCAATGAAGAGGACAAGGGCTCTGAGCAGCAGCAGTCGCACAACGGCAGTCTCGGTATTAGAAGGGCAATCAACGCGCTACATGTTGCAGACGGGACAGACGATAAGGGCAATGATGGGAAAGAAAATGAGGCTCCGACGGCGGCGGCGAAGTCGCAGAAGTGCCGGCAGGGGCTGTCGGCTGCACAAGATGGGACACTGGACTCGGATCTGGCGAGCAGCGCGACAGGCGAGGCGCATGGCCGACAGAGTGGGTGCACTTGTTTGGCGAGGCGGATGAGAAAGAGCTCGGAGCAGATTTTGGCTGTGGCCGAGGAGCTTTTGCGGATGCACGAAGACGACGCGGCGTCGATGGTAGAATGATGGTGGACACTGGACATGATGTATGATGGACGTAATTATATCACTTGTGAGGCCGCACTTGTTGACGTGCATGTTTGTTTGTTTGGAGATGTCTACCGAGCCTCGGGTCTGAACGTGAGCTGAGTCTCCCTTATCTGATGTCAAGCTGACCATGCCACTATTAGTCAGAAGAGTCAGAAGTCGTCAAGATTGATCAAGGTTACCTAAGGAAAGTTGAGGGATTTCGTGAGTGCCGTGAAAGCTTCTGACAGCGGAACTGCATGGGTCAGACGTGTTTGACCACGCAGGAACCACTGTCACACCAAGAAGCGGTGTTTTGTGCGGTATGCCACCTTGTATCCCACCGGTTGCTAGGCTAATGGGTGCATTTTGGGCGTAGAGATATGATAACCAAGTACGGAGCAGGTGCAGTGAGCACTGAGAATGCTCTGTACGTCAAGGACTAGCCATGCGGGCTGCTGCGTGCAAGTGCTATGCCACGAGTATTCACCACAAAGTTGCGAGGGAAGAGAAGAAAGAGGACGTATTTCTACTTTCTCTTACTATATAGCTATATACGTTCCTTTTTTTGAAGCACTTAAAAGAGGTTTCAATACTGGTTTACTGTAAGGCTGAAGTGTATTTAGACAACCTTACGCCTATTTATTGCTTGGATCGCCAAGATTGTTCATCTACAAACTGCTGTACAAGTCAGGCAAGAGGCATGGTCAGGTCAGGCGTAGGCTTTATCCTACGTTGAACTAGCAAAATGACGCGGCTACGCGCCCATTCACCCTTCCGTTTCTTGCTCTGAACTCAAATCAATCCTGTGATAACTTCCCCGTCAACTGGCGCTGTCGTCTAGTCTTCCTCTTGCTGTGCCTGTGCATGGAGATCTTTTCCACGGAGCTGACGAAAATGGAGTGCGTGCGAGTGAGTAAAAGACTGACATTATGTAAACTAAGCATGTCCTTCAGGTGCTTCCTTCTCTCTCCCAGGTAGTAGTACGACTGCCATTCACCTGAGCGGCGGAGGCACATTGTGTTTCCTCAAAGATGGACGTGCTTTTGACAATGCCAGTCATCCCTCGCCAGTCCTTTCCATCACACAGTCTCGGCATCGACTCATGCGTACAGCCACTCCATTAGCAGCAAGCGCAGCCACCGCACTTTTTCTACATACCATGCGCGATCACTATGGGACCTCAAATCTGTCTTGCGGGGGATTGGTGCGACTCACATGCCAATAGGGGCAATTACCAGTCCACTTCATCAACAGTGCCTTGTTAGTAGATGAAGAAGGAAGACATGGAGTGAGGGACCCGTGGTCTCAACTCACATCGTTGCAGCATGAAGGAGGCAGGCAAGCTTGCGGTTTGACCGCCGCTCCGTCCTCAGCTTGCGGGAGCGCCACTACCATGGTGGCAGCAAGGACCGGGAAGACGCGCGACAGAAGCATTGTATTGATCGGGCAGCTGATTGCTAGCAGTGTGTAGTTGAAGTGTTGTATGGCCGTTTGGTCTTTCTCCCTGGTGCCGTGCCGCACCGTCGGTCTCTTTTATAGTCAAGTGCCCGACGTTCCGTCCGCGTGTATAGTCAGCCGAACCGACGCAAACCAGATTCGTTCGGCTGCAGATACGACCATACGCCCATGCCCCGGAAGTCGGAGCAAGACTGGACAGAGGGTGTTGAATCGAGCGAATGATCGATCCGGCATGAAAGTCACGGGCGGACGTATTGCCCTGTGGCGAGACTTGGTATATCGCCGAGACGACGAGTCTCTTTGTCTTCATCTGCCAAGTTTCTTTCCTGTGGGATATAGCCTTGGAAATGGTAACACGGCAGATTTGGGTGGTTGCACTGATTACGTATAGACGTCTAGTATTGCCGTGCCACGTACGAAACGGGCAATTATCAGCAGCTCCGAGACCAGTGGGTTGTCTGGAGTAGAACAAAGGCTATCCAAACCTTCTTGGGCCGTCGGTCAGGGAAGAATGATGCGAAGTTGTAGGACCCAGGCAGCAGGTAAAGGGGGAGATTGCACTCGCGTCAGTACATTCAACTTGATCAAGGCAGTCGGGCATTGCAAGTCACGGCATAGCAAGTAGCCCGGCCATCCGAATCTCAAGTCGAGTCCGTGTGAGCGGAGGGAGTAGGCAGAACTTCCTGTTACATGACGTATGATGGAGTCATGACCGGACATGAACGCCCTGATTTTCGGTTTCTTTTTGCAGCGCTTACTCGTTCTTGTTCGAGGTACAGAAAACGACAATTACGAGACGGACTTGCAGAAAGTGATATGTCGCGCCCTCGTTGTCGCCGAAAGCTGCAACTTCCTTGTCCCCTCTTGTCCGTCAATGCCGATTGGATCCAACGATATGAACAAAGAGTCTGGTTCAGCTTCCGGCGACCAAAAGCGTGTCCAAATGCAACCTCGCCTCGAACCAAAGCCGCCCGGCTTCGGGGTAAGTGCGTGCCTGCGATGACCGCTCATGACCTTTTGCTGCAACCGGTCACCATTGTCTACCTCATATCTCGTTTTCGCCCAAAGGGGGAGGGGGACATCACGCGGAGGTTTCTTCCGTGGATTCAAATGGCTTTTTTGAAATTCTTTCCCCAGTGTGATGTGTGCCAACACTTGCGGTCGTCGCTCCTTGACGTTTTCATCAGGACGTCTTTCTGAATTTGACTCTGACAGACGTGAAGCGACTCGCGGCTATCATGCCTTGTTTAAAAAGGTATTTAACAGCTACGGCTAGCCTATCCGCTCAGTTGCTAGCCACCGCCTTCCCAGCGGGCGACTCACCACAGGGAGCGGAAGATCTACAGCCTCCCATCGCTATCATGCCACTAGGGGATTCGATTACTTTTGGAACCGGTGGTTCTGATCTAGGAAGTTACCGGAAGCCCCTGCTTCCCATGTTGCATGGGCTCGGGCACGACGTTGACTTTGTCGGTCCAGTGCTCGCGGGAAGCAATTCTGGAGATCCAGACAATGCCGGCTACGTTGGCTATCTCGTCGTGGAACTCCGTGACAAGATTATCGCCGATCAGCTGGTTGCCAAGTACAAGCCAACCTACATCCTGCTTCATATCGGCTCCAACAACATGGGCAACGACGCCATGGCATCGCGAGCACCAAGCGATCTGCAAGACCTCATTGACGACGTGTGGAAACAGGGTCCGAGGACCAGCATCCTCTTGGCAGCGGTTATCCCAACTCGCTCCTCGGAGTACAATAAAAGGACGGCCCTGTTCAACAGAGACGTCAGGCGCACTGCGGCCCAACTTCAGGAGCAGGGAAAACCCGTGTCACTCTGTGACCTGTCCACGGCCATTGACCCGGCGAGGGACCTGGCCGATGCTGTACATCCAAACGACAATGGCTACAAGAAGATGGCAGCTGCTTGGTTGCAGTGCTTGAAGCATGTTCTACCTCCGGCGAGGGGGAAAATCGCCCAGCATAACCCTCACTTCCAAACGCTGCATCCTGTACCGGCACGAACATTCGACCCGGGGTATATTCCGATGTGGGAGAGTCAAGGGATTACCATTGACTTTGCCGGTCGCGGGACGGACCTCTACGCCGTGAGCCCCCTTGCTGGACATGGTGGAATCGCCACCACCTTTGATGTCGCGGCAGACAAGCAAGTCACTGTCACTTTCAGGGTCAGAGATAGCCCACCGAGTCCCCTTTGTCCCGGCGCCGCACACCATCTGCACGTCGCGTCAGACACTGACAATGAGGGCGTGGACATCCACGTCCCCGCGGGCGATACTGCCTGGGGCGTACACAAGTACAAATTCATGGCTCAGGGGAACTCGTCACATCTTTCCTTCCAAGCCCGAGGGCCGACGGACGGCTTCTGTGGACCAAGTGTCGCGGACGTTGTCGTGAGACAAGACTCTGGTTACGATGTTGGGAGACGGCGTGTGCGCCTTTGAAAATAGTTTTTCAGGACGCCTCGGCCATCCCGCTGGGGGTGCCGGCGTTGTCCCAGCGTAATTGATGTTTCAGAAGCCAATGTAAATTACTCTGCACTTTTTCCTGCGTCTGCACAGAAGCGTTGAACTGCATGCAAAAGTGTAAGTGCGCAGGTCCAAAGTTGAAAAGAGTTTAGCTAGTTTTATAGTTAATAAAAGCTTGAGGTAATGTAAGGTAAATTTAAATATATAAGCTATTATAGCTAAATACTAAATATTTATAATAGTAGTTATATAATAAGCTAGAGCTAAGCTAGCTTACTTATAGAAAAGAGATAGATATTATATAAAGCTAAAATAAATTATATCTCTAGAGAGATAGAATAATAAGAAAGTAAAGAAAGTAATAAATAGCTAGGTACATCCTAGAGTCTTCTCGTACTACATTTCTACACTAATCCTTCCAAGCTATCGATACACTTTTAGCACATGCTGACTTTTATTTCTCTTTTTTCCCTTCACCAAAAACCAACGAATAACGTTCCTAGTCGTCGTCTACGTCATGCAGGAGATATGCTTTGAAAGCAGCTAGAGGGCTCCAGATTCGTTACGGAGCCGGCCGTGGCTGCATTAGAGTTGGCCGACTGCATGACCAGCAAGTAATATAAATCCGAGAAAGGAGGAAAACTACGGTCAAAAATTGCTGCTTGGTTGCTCACAGGTCCAGCGGTCGTCCCTATTGCCCTTGTAGTCTCCCCTATCTGCTGCTACTCGGAGCCTTCTTCAACTGCTGCTACTTGGAGTCTTCTTCGTTTGCTGACGTGGTCGTTTTGATAATTTTTATCCAGCTTTATATACTTCTTAGCGATGACAAATAATGTGCCGAGACGGAATAGAGTCTGCGGAGGGAAACCACAACGCTGCTGCCCCTTATGCTTTTTTTCCTCTTCTTCAACTTGTTCCTACCGTTAGACGACGGAGCTTTAAGATCCTTCTGTTGTTACCTTGAACACAAAGGAGGGGTATTCTTCGACGAAAAAGGTTCCCTTAGAGAGATATGTAATGCCCTCGACAGGAGTTTTTGAAGCCAGGTCGGACAGGTGCCTTATTAAGAGATAGGGGATTAAACTCCGCAGGTACGGATTCAGGCTTACCCCTCTAAAGGCACTGCCGACGGCGACGAGCTCGCGCTCTAGGGTGTTGCTGGATGCCATTGTTAGGGAAACCTCGTTGATAGTCGCCAACGGAGCCAGACTGCGCGCTTGTGAAGTACTGTCGCCGGGCGTTTCGGGCTATTTGGCGACGAAGCTTGCTTTGAGGAAAAGAGAGCACTAACCGGATCGATCGCTTTTAGGGCGTGACGGTGAACAGAGGGAGCTGGACTTGCGACGGTAGGGGGTCGGCGAAGACGGGGTGAAGTGTAGCTGCTACACTGGTGCGAGGCAGACGTGGGTATTTATAGCCGGAGTGCCTTGAGTAGACTAACGTTTCCGTTTCCCCTTGTTCTCAATCCTAGCAGTGTTCAGCTGTTGTTAACGAAAAGTTTGGACATGCACAGTCGGTTTGAACCATCCGCCTAAGCATGCTCTTGCGAGATCGACCGCAGGAAAAGGGCACAAACGGTTCTTTCAAGCCGTCCAACGGCGGGCACGCACCCGAGCGTACGCCGTCCGTTGAAACGTGTCCGTACTGTCGTGATGGCACACAGACACGCAATGGACACGAGGTGAATAATCCACCTGACATGCCAGTGGCACGCCGGTTTGAAGAGGGTCCGGCGGACACGCTCCCGAGAGGCGTTTTGTGTTTCTCACCAGTCATGGACCAGACTACGAACTCCGTAGCTGTGAAATCGAGCACCGACCGACGCATTGCCCTTGTGCTGCTCTCTTCAACTGGATCAGCATCATCGGTTGCAGGCGCTGGCTTTGCACAACCGGCTCGCTGTGCCAAATTGGTCAAGTCGTCGCAGGCATCAAAGTCACCTAGTCAGTATGAGATCCAGCAATCATTGTTTTTTTGTGCTAAACGTGAAAGGGGCTCGGCCGGCGCGACTTGTTACCTTGGACATGATTCTGCGTCGGAGCATGAGCTCGCGACGGGGAGCGATTCCATGAAAGCCATGATAAAGAAAAGGCCAAAAGGCCCAAACTGCTGTACATTCTACTCATGTTGAAAAGACGTCCTGGCATGGTTGGTGCCTTGAAAAATCATACAAGTTCGAGATGGGTGTCAAGGCTACGAGGTCGGAGATGGCGGATTACGAATGAGTATCCCCTCTTCATGAAGGGATGTGGCCTGGAATGATTTGGCCGTTGTTTCTGCTTTCCCAAGAAACAAAGCTCACAGCGAAGGTGTTGAAACGAACCACGGTTCCGTCATCGTCTTCAAATAGAACTGCCTGCCGCGCTTTGCGTTCTCTTCCGAGACCCCAAGCCCCAGTCCTGGTTCCCTCGGCCGCCAATCTGATCCTCGGGTACAGACAGAATCCAATTCACCCCCCCGGCCGTGTCCGTGGCTCACTGACGGACGTTTTAGCAAGTTGCTTGCCTAGGCTTTTGTACTCGCCTCCGTGCGACCCCATCTGACGGCCCGACCCGGTTCACACAACCGAAACAACCTCGAAACGGCCAGTCTTCAAGCATTGAATACGGTCGATGTGCTGAAATAGCCCAGGTCAACTAGCCCACACGGCCGAGTATCAAGGCGCTCCCAGGCTGACTGCCCGCAATAGCATGCCCCAGCTCGCATTTACCAATTCTGCGAACAAGGAACTGCCGTCAGCCGCTTTGGTTCGCCACGGATACGATTCATGCCTTCTCTCCACCAACTCCCAAGCCACGTTCCACCACCCTCGTGGTACAAATAAGACAATCAGCTAATTCTTCCTTGGGAGCAAAGAAAATCGCTTCGTGGCTGGGAGGTCTGGTCGTACTGCTCGTAAAGTCAAGTCTGACGGGCCGCCAGACGTGCCACGGCACAGGAGCTGCATATCAGATGCACGAGTCTGACAGCGAGAGAGGAGGGGCACGCGGGTCTCGTTCCGGCAAGCGGGAAGGGCAAACTCTGTCGGGATGACGTTGGTGGCAGCATAAAAAGCGGCCTCTGCTACGTTTCCATGGACACATTTGACGTTTTCAGGGCCCGTCGGATATATTTACCAGGACCAGGTGCCTGGATTTGTTCCCCTGTATCGCAGCCACGTCTCTCAAAACGGTCATCATTTTGTGTCGCCGAGGCCCGGTTGCGAGGGGCCCTACACCAGGGAAGGGAGTCTTTGCTTGGTTATGCCATCCAATGGTGCCTGGAAAGAATGAGCGACGGATGAATGGGTAAGTTCTACACGACGTTGCTCGAGGTCCAAAGAAATCAGTCTGAATAGAAACGTCACGAATATACAGCCGATATACTGATACGGGGCCCTGCACAAGTCGGCTGCGGAAACTCAGCTAGCACATTGTACGCAATGTCCAATGTCACCGAGTGGTTTGCGCGGAGAATTTCTCAAGGAGCATGAGTAGATTATAAATGGCCACTTTGAGCACCGACTCGAGTGTAGTTGCCAAATGAAGCCTCGAGACCGCTGATTGTCCTCCTTGTGATGACGCCTTATTTCACAAGCGCCCCGGATGCACCACCCGAAAAGCCAAGAGTGTTGCGAAACACGCGACGAAAGCTAAAGTGACAGTTTCGAGTCCAGAGGCACATCGTAGACCACAGCTGGATGTACACAAAGCGAGACGGCGCGTCTAGGTCTCGGCGCTTGGGAGAGGCGTCGCCAAGCCGAGTCGCTCCAGCGTGCTGGGAAACGTCTTGGGGTCGGCGGAATTGGCATCCACAATGTTTGTCTTGGGCGTTTCGTCAACGAGGAGGCGGATCAGATCCGGCCGCATGTAGTGCCCGCCCTGTCCATCCAGCTTTGGGTCAGCATTCTTTGCGGGGCGTGGATGTTGCTCGCATCAACATACAAAGTCGGCAATCTTCTTGGTCAGCAGGTTCTCGTCCAGATCAATGTCGACCATGACGAGCCCGTCAAACGTCTTGGCCGGGTCATCCACCGCGCGGAGGCCGTCCGGGCGGTAGACCCTGGCGAAGCCGTTTCCAACAATGTCAGCCTCCCCGTCGAGGGCGGCCTCGTCGTTTTGCAGCCGAACCGGCAGGCCGAGACGGGCCCCCTCACGGGTCACCACTTGGCTTGGTGCCAAGGTCCACGTGCCCGTCTCGTACGCGTACGCGGGGGTGACATGCTCGGATTGGGTTTCGGAAGCATTCGTGTAGGGGTCGGGGTACTTGATGGCCGAGCCGGGGCCGTACACGGGCCACGCGGCGACGTGGACTTGCTCGTGTCTGCTGGCGTTGAGGGCCTTGAGGAATGGGTTCATCTACGAATGTCAGCGTCACATGTCTCGGGGGTCCCGCGTGAGTGGCGCATACGTTTTCCCAGCAGTTCAAGTGTCCGAGATTGCCGATTTCCGTCTCGACGACGGCGTGGAGCGAGTCGCCGCTTCCCTCGCCAAACACCAGCTTCTCTACATGGGTTGGCTTGATCTTGCGGCGGTGGTTGATGACGGTTCCCGTGGGATCGATGACGACCTGGGCCATGTACATGGTGTGGCCATCGAGCTCGGAGTAGCCCAGGGAGACGTACGTCTTGGCGGCCCTGGCAGCTTCGCGGATTCGCCGCATTTCGTCAGAGTCGGGCCGCATGCTGTTCTGGTGGAACTTCTTGAGGAGCGGCAGTGAGTCCTGGTAGTTCACACGCCACAGCCAATAGGGGTATCTGGATCGGAAATGAGCATCCGCTACATGCTACGTGAAGAACAGGTTGGTGGAAAGGTACCCTGGGATCCCTGCCTTTTGTCAGTATCACACAGGAGAGGCTGTTTTTGGAGGCAGCTTACAAAGTTCGGGAAAGGCTACTAGCTTGCAGTCCTTTTCGCCAGCTTCAAGGATCAAGTCCACAGTCTTTTTGACTGACTTTTCAAGATTGAGCCAGCCAGGCTCGGCCTGTACACAGGCAGCCTTGTACTGACGAATGGTAGCAACCATGATGATATGTCTTGGAGGATGAGCGTTTTGGCCGAGTTACAATAGTAGACGGTGAGGAGGGTTTGATGGTGAAGCGATGGAAAGAAGGGATTTCTGATGTACAGCAGCCATATATAAGTTCAAACAAATCTTTTCGCCTGTCGCCCGGCTGAAGAATTCGGACGACGCTGAGTCGAGAACGTCCTGACTGCCTTTCATGGCGCGCGCGGGCTTCCCTCGGTGTCTGGATCTCCGTGTCTGAATGCTGCACGAATAGAATATTTTTCCAGTCCACGTGGCCCCCATTCACGGCGGCATCGTCTGTTCGATCAAATAGTGCCATGTACGGAATTGCACAGGGTCTAGATCGTGGCCATCAAAGCAGGGCATATTGCAGACACTATTGCAGATGGCTGCATTGGGTCAATGTTGCGGGAAAAGTCAATTCGACACCCGTTAGAGCCCCCATGTCAGAGGCCGAGCATCATGCCACTTTGCTTGTCCCAATTGATCCGCGGGAACTGGACGGACTGCGACTGTGGCCGGCAAATATCTGCGGCCGTCAGACGGCGAACAGAAGCCGGGATAACGCCGAGCTGATGCGAAAAGAGTTGGCCGCGGAGATATCTGAGTCTCGAGTTCCTCGGCCCGGCCCGCGGCGAGCTTTTCTGCCGGGCGGTGGGGAGCCATGCCCTCGCGGTGCACTTGCACTCGTGGACAAAATGCGCAGGTGACGTCATCGGACAGGATCAATATTTGCTGAACGCGTCCTCAAATGCTGACCAGTCCAGGCAACATTGGAACAAGGTGCAGCCGCTGGGATGCGACGCCTGCAGCTGTTGGCTGGACGATCCAGTGGAATCTCCGATTGCCCTGACGGCAATCTCGGACATCAATCGATGTCAACGCTCAACCGTCTCTCAGTGCAACGCGTGCTGTTCGGCGGTTCAACTGCCACCGGAATGTTGGTCTATGGTCACGACACCTGGGGCAGGAAGCTGCTGCGACCTTTGGCCACAAGGACTTTAATGCCCAAGTGTGTTGTTTGCAAATTGAGCTAGAGTGCTCCAAGCCCTCAGACGAGCCCTTGTCCCAATCTTGTCACATCCACTTTACCCAGCAATGGGATATACATCATTCTTTCATAGTATCCTCGAAGACAACTACCTCTCACATTGACACTTCCACAGAATCCAGAGCCTGTTTCTCTATTATTCAATGTTCTAAACGGACGCCTCCCTTCCACGCAGGTATTGCTCCGACTCCAAATTCTCCTTCCAAGAGCATCAGGCTGATGCCGTCACTCCAGTCACCGCGTAACACCGCACAAGGTTCCTTCAATCAGCTATCAGGCTCCCCTCTCGTCAACATAATGCCGTCTAACAGGTCAATAACAACCCCACGATCGGGCTGCTCCCACACGTCTCGGCCCTTTTCAGCGGCTACCTGTAGAACTGTTGCCTGAAATGCTATTACAACCAGATGTGCAGTCCCTAGTCGACTTTGGACAAGCTAACCTTGGTTCGAGAGAGAGAGTATGTTCTCTTAAACAATATGAGGTTGTAGTCTTGCCTACCCTTGACATTCTGTACGCCGTGGTACATACTAGAAGCGCCATCTACTTCTCACTTCACCTTTTCCACTATAATTGGACAAAATTCTGCAAGATATGCCACAGGTTTGGTGGATCTATCCTGATCAACATGGACTCACTATTTCAGTTGCGTCCAGGAAGCTCAAATGGTGACTCTCGCCGCAATCTGAAGGCACTACGAATTGACCAAGGCCTCAATAGCGGAATTGGAATTCAAGACCCTTCCTGTAGTATACTTCACGCGTAAATCCGCACGCAAATAGCGCCTTGAAGTTCTTTCCGCCAACGAGGCCATGTTTCTTCCTGAGGACTATGTATTTCAAGGGCACGTCCCGTTCCCATGAGTTATATAAAAAATGCTTCCCTAAACCTTGTACGGATGCACTACTTGGGCCACCTACTAGGGCGGGCCAATTTTCAATCTAGCAGCCATGTTAACCTCTTCATGTACAATATATACTTTCTCTATTATTAATTTTAAGTCTATTTCATATGGAAGTGTAATACTCTTCGTATGCTCTCGTTACAGCTTTAAAAAATTATGTACTTAGTCTGGAGTTTCCGAGAGCATATCACGCCGTCGAAGACGGAATTCATCAAGATATGCTGATAGATTGGATGACAGCCGTAGGGTCTGTGACACATACTTTCCGGCCATGCCGATTGCTAGGGCAAGGCATCCCGGCTCTTTCACAAGAATTCGGCTTCGGCTACCACATCATCCTGTGATGGTTGCATCTCTACGTAAGTAAGAAATAGTTCAGCACTTTGTGGCTCTTTAAGCTGGTGTTGATTCTCGCGATGGCGAGATTGAATGTATAGAAAATATGCTCTTATACTATGTATATATGGGATCCTATCGCCGTCATTCTTTCTCACTATCCTCGCCGTCACTATCATCCTTCACGTGGGGCTTTCCGCAAAAAGAGCTGTCATAACCATATTAGTCGAAGAATCGGTGTGTTGCATTTCCCCACCGTAGACGCGGCGTCTCGCACCTATGGGATAGTCATGTGTAGGCGACCGAAAGATGCCGTGTACTGGAGTAGAACGGGGGAAGTGATTTGAGAATACTGGGTGTGTGTGTGTTGTTCACGGCGTCCTCCCCCGACCTCCTGCCAAATCTACCAAGTTGCTACTGTTTTATCCAACAAGTATCTCGTTTTAAGCTCAGGCCTCCTGACATGCGTGTCATGGGCAGCCCGAGTAAGGGAGTGTATGAGTACAAACGATTGCTAGATTGGCGGGCATGTGCGACTGAAGCAGCGCAACTTATACGGTGGCGTGTGTGTGAGGGCTGAGCTGACTACGAGAGGACATGGCCGTTGAGGCAGTCATGGTGTTTCATGCAGAGATGGGCATCGCGAACTACTCCCGGCATGTCAATGATTGAGTCCATGTCGCACGAAAAGAGCACACCCTTTGCGGGGCGACTCATCCCGCTTGGATTATTTGACCAACTCGGTTGGATGCGGGAGTTGAAAATGTCGTCCACGCGCCACTGTTAGATGGCGAGTCCTGAATCCTGATGAACTTTCTGATGGCGGAGCGTCGCACGACTCGCACGAGTATAGGATTTGAGGAGTGGCACTCGACGTGCACATGGGTCAGTTTGATAGCGAGTCGATCGAGTGAGTGTCTGAGGATTAATCTATTTGTTTATCGGCTGTCCCAGCAGATGCTCCCATCTGCAACTTCTTTTCCGTTTGTCTCGAACGGCGCGTTCCTCAATGTCGCCTCCACCATCTCGATTACAACTTGCCGCTCTCAACATTGCCTGCGAAACAACAGCAGCTGCCAACTGCTTGCACACACTAATAGCTGTACTGCTCCTCGCTCTCGCTCGTCAATTTTTGCTTCTTCTGTTGGCCTACAGGTACTTGGCAGATGTCACAAACCCACGTTGATGCTTGTCAGGGATGTTATGCGCATACGCACGTAGTACTCTCTTCTTATTTCTAATTGCAAAGAGCTGCTTTTTACTATTTCTCTAGCTTCTTCATACTACTACCTATAAATTAAATCTAGTCTAGACTTAGCCTAATAATATAATTTACTTAAATACTCTGCCTGAGCCCTCTACCTAATATAAAACCCTTATAAAGTATAAAGTTAAAGCTAGGGAACAGCTTAAGGAAAGCTTAGAGCAACTTAAGGAGCTATATATAAGCTTACTAAGCAGCAGGTAACTTACACCCAAGTTAGTATTGCTAAAAGTAGCAGTATAAAGCATTATAATTCTAGTTTTATAACGCGCTACTAGATAGCAACCCTAGTGTGGCAGCAACATCAACATAGTTCTTAAACCCACACCATCGGCCCGGATACCAGCGGTCACGGAATGCTGCTCGGCGAGGCGGCCGTTACAAGCGGCATGGTGACGTGCATGTCTGGTGCTGGACCGTCAAACGTCGCCGTGGAGCTCAACCTCTCCAGCTGCCCGCGTCCTACGCCACCAGGGACCTCGTTCGACAGCGCTGCTCGGCGACGGCGGCTTATTCTCTCGGCGGCACAGGACGAGAAGCTGGCCGTGCTTTACAACTCCCCAGCTGAGAATGAGCAGTCCCTGTGCATCTTTCCAAAGCCCTCTCACAAGTTGGACATCAGGCACGGCATTGTCTCGCAAGTACGGGAAGGCGAGCTCGTCGGGCTCGGTGTGGAAACCTACCAAAAGGGCTACAAGTACGTTCCGGCCCCCGCCTCGCATTAAATCTTACCAGCGGTATGGAGGCCTACTGACGGTGAGCAGATCCGACGCCCAGGCCGGCGAGGCGACCTTGGGGAGAATCATCAAGAGCCGGCCTCTGAGTTCTGCCAACCAGGACAGGGACTCCTGCCCATTACAGCGGTCTTATCTGCACGGCACGGAGAGGCAGAACGAAATCAAACACATGCTCATGCGAGCTCCTACCATTGATCTTTCCGCCAGCGGCGTCTCCTCCGCCGAGCCCCTCGCGCAGCGGTCAACGACCTCCTGGGGGACGGCTCGATACTTGGTCTGTCGGAAGCTGCCGAGGCATCCAAGCAGCCAGTGCCAGCGATCAGCAAGCTTCTCCCCGAGAACTTCTTCTTTGGCGACAAGCAAAAATTCAAAGTCTCCAGGAGGTATGGGAAGATGCCGACGGCGCGTGGAGCGCAGGGCCGGGACTGCTCAACGGGCTGGGCCGAGGGCAAGTTGTACAGCGGAACCACGACTCTGGGCCACAGGGTGGTTGCAGGTGCACAAGGTCCTAGTGAGGACGAGGACAAGTTTGCTTCGATTCGGACTCTGGGCAGAGCGAGTTGGACGCTGCTGCCCAAGTGTTGAGCGGCGCGGACTGACGTATCGAGGAGTCGTGCTGCATTGGGCCGTCTGCGGCGGGAGACGTCTCGGACATTGTGGCTGTGTCAGCTGGCAAATTCCCGTCCGAAGGAAGGACTCGCAGTAGAATCTGCCAGTTGGCGAGTTAAGCGCTGGATCTAAAGAGGACCAGCTTCGCGGCTCGCTGTTGTGTCGCCGTCAACTCTCGGCGCCTTGGTGGCGCGTGACGTGGGTGCAGAGCAGGAAAGAAAGCCTGTGAATAAGTCGGCCAGGCCCAGACTATGCAGCTGCACATTGTCCACTCGGGTTGCACGAGAATGACGGCGAGCTGCTCGCCCGATATACGTTCCACTGAGCCGAGTCAAGCCTCTGCAGCTCGAATCACAGACCGCAGAAGCGTCCGTACACAACGACATCGATTCGCCTGCGGGTAGTGCGTCCCGACGGCGAGGACGAGTGTGCGTCCTTGGTACGAGACGATGGACTTGTGCCTGGAGAGCAAGATGGACCAACGGTCATGGACGCCCTTGGACTCTAGACGTTGTCATTCTTTGCTTGTCGAGGCTCTGCACGACGAGGACCGACGAACCATTCGGCAAAGTCCGGCTGCGTGGTGCGCTGGCTCTTCCGGTCCGACTTGGCATGGCAACGCTGCATGATGGAAACAATAGTCACCGAATGCATCCGCTGGTACGGACATGGGTGCGTCAGAGATCTGGCGCGAGCACGGCCGGGTTCCTGACGCCGTCCGTGGTTCTTCAGGCTGCGCGCGCATATGCTGCTCCTCGGGAGGAGGAGAGGCGGACGCACCCCGAGCATGTACTTGGGTCGCAGGGAGCAATCGCGGGCCGCGTCGGGGAAGGCCAGAGAGTCCTCCGTCAAACTTGGCCATCATCGTGGTTGCGCCTCGGCAAGGCTTTTCGAAATCTCCACGCGGCTGAATTCGCCAAGTTTAGCTTGGTCTGCCTGCACTTGGGGCTGTGGGGTAACTTATCATTATGTAAAGCTGAGAAGCTTCAGCTGCAGGTGAATGACTACAAGACAGGGTCAAGGACTTGGCCTTTAGACTTTCCGTGGGGAGGGTTGGGGTGCTTGCTGATGAATATCCAGTCCAGCATGGACAAATGTAGGTTGAACGAGGTCGAGCCACCAGCCACGTTGCTCGAGTCCGTGTTGCGGTCACCTTGTCCCAGCTTCCGGGCGAGGCATAGTTGGTAACATACTTGACGACGCCAAAGGCACTCGAGACTCGAGTGAAAGATGCCAGCTACCAGGGGCCCCGTCCCCCGTCCCCCGTCCGCCTCTGCCGTTCCACCGCGGGTGACCGACTAGTCGAGTTGGTCAAGGCCCAAGGGCACGGATCCAGCTTGACATTGTCCGACTCTGGCCGCGCGACGAGTCGTGCCGGTCCAAATGCGTCCCGTCTGTGGCCCGGCGTGCGGCTAGATCAAGCCCAGTTGGCGCGAGGGCCGCCACGGACAACAAAGCAGACGGACGACATCGAGGCAAAAGCTTAGCCACGCGCCGAGTATAAACAACAGCAGTGGCACGAGGCCGGTCCTGGTGCGGAGGTGGAGAATGGAGATTCTGCATGTGGCATCGTGGATTCGTGGATGTGGGTATAAACAAATGCGGCCTGGGCGTCGTCGACGGCAAGGTATTTAAAAACCAACCAAGCTTGCCCGACTCGTCGAACCCAGACCTGCCCATTTCCCGGGACAATGGTCCTGCCTGCACGAGACTGTCCACGAAGCCTGGCACGAATCGCACGATCCCCCGTCGCTTCTCTGTTCCGCGTCCGAGAGCCCAGCAGCAGCAGCAGCAGCAGCGCCCTCGTGTCCGGGTCTGGTCCTGCTCGGCGTTGCGAGACGCAGCCGCGGCCCATTGAGAGATGCCAATGTCCAACAAGTCCGAGTCGTCTGGCCTCGACGGCGAGCCGCGACATCTGTCCGTGGCGGCGGCCGAGCCTCCAGAGTACGACGGCGACGCAGGCCTGCACGACGCCGTGTTTGGGGACCTGACCGGAAAGGGCCCCAACTACCGCAATGTGAGACAAGACAGCCAACTCGCTCGCTCATGCGTGCTCGTGGGCGCCGGAAACTGACTAACGGGTGCCAAAAGGTCGGGTGGGTGGGAACCGTCGCGCTCATGATGAAGACGCAGGTCGGGCTGGGCGTCCTGTCGATACCGGCGACGTTCGACACGCTGGGCCTCATCCCCGGCCTCGTCTGCCTGCTCGCCGTTGCGGCCGTCACGACGTGGTCGGACCACATTGTCGGCGTCTTCAAGAGGCGGCATCCCGAGGTGTACGGCATCGATGACGCCGGCGGCTTGATGTTTGGCCGCATCGGGCGGGAGGCGCTGGGCGCCGCCTTTTGCGTTTGTGAGTCCAAAGCCCAAAGCTCTCGCGGGTCTCCCGTCTCGGGTCTCGGGCTGACGCAACGCGCGCAAGACTGGATCTTTGTTGCCGGGTCGGGAATGCTGGGCATATCCATCAGCCTCAACGCCGTCTCGTCCCACGGCGCCTGCACAGCCGGCTTTGTCGCCGTCGCCGCCGTCGCCGGCTTCATGCTGGCCAGCATCCGGACCCTGGCCCGCATCAGCTGGCTGGCCTGGGCAGGCCTGACCGGCATCCTCGTCTCGAGTTCGTCCCTCCCGCCCCGCGACGCCGCGCCGGCCTGTTGTCAGGCGTGCGTGAGTGAGTGAGTGAGTGAGTGAAGTGAGCGAGCGAGCTGACCGTGCCGTGGCAGTCTTGCTCGTGACCGTCGCCGTGGCCGTCCAGGATCGTCCTGCCGCCGCGCCGCCGCAGGGCCCGTGGGCGTCCGACTTCAAGCTGGTCAAGAGACCGTCCTTTGCCGCCGCCGTCTCCGCCGTCGCGTCCATCGTCTTCGCCTACGCCGGCACGCCGGCCTTCTTCTCCATCGCCGCCGAGATGCGCGACCCGCGCCACTACACGCGGTCTCTGCTCATCTGCCAGGCCGCCGTCACCGTGACCTACGTGTCCATCGGCACCGTCGTCTACTACTACTGCGGCTCCTACGTTGCGTCTCCGGCCCTCGGCTCCGCCGGCCCCCTCGTCAAGAGGATTGCCTACGGCCTGGCCCTTCCGGGTCTCGTGGCAACAACAACCATTGTCGTCCACGTGAGTAGAGCTCCCCGGGTCGTGTCGTGGCCTCGCGGCGCCTCCCGTCCCAACCTCCCAACAACCTCGTGCTGATGCCGGCTGTAGCTGCCTGCAAAGTACGCGTTTGTCCGCATACTGCGCGGCTCAAAGCATCTCACCGCCAACGATGCCATTCACTGGGCGACCTGGCTGAGCTGTACCCTGGTCACCACCGTGATTGCGTATCTGATCGCCAGCGGCATCCCCGTCTTCGGGGGCCTGGTCTCGCTCGTCGGCGCCCTCCTCGGCACGCTCATGTCCTTCCAGCCCATGGGCTGCATGTGGCTGTACGACAACTGGCACCGGGGCAGAAAAGACCCAGCGAGCCGCTGGATATTCATGGTCGTTTTCAGCATTCTCGTCGTCGTGACCGGCACCTTTCTCATGGTTGCCGGCACCTACGGCTCCATCGTTGGCATCATAGACTCGTACAACAAAAGCGGCGCGTCTCGAGCGTGGACGTGTGCCGACAACTCCAACTCGGCCTAGCCTACTGCCGTGAGCTGCGACGTAGATGGATTCCAGAACGAGCAGTCGCTGTGAATGTTGAGCGAACAGCTGTGTCAAACGGGACCATGATGCGGGAAACGCGGCCGCCCCGGACGCTACAGCTCTGCGTGGCTCGCTCGTCCCGACAACCGGGCCGTATCCGGGCTTGGACTTTACCCGGGCCAGAATCCTGGGTTGACGCCCGGGTGCATGGCCTCGGCTGGCGCGCGGCTTTCGATGGCGACTGTCTCGGCAGACCATCCCAAGTCTCGTCCCGTCGCGGGTTTCGCAGTGACTGTGCCCTGTTTCTCTTTGATCTCGTGTAGATCTACTACTAACCAGTAAAAGTGTCCCGGGAGGGGCTTTGCTGTTGATCACGATCCTTTTGTTTGATGCTGGCCGCCGAGGCTCACCCGGGTGCTCAGCAGGTGATGCTGGAGACGCCTCTTGTACTGTCATGTCATATCTTGTCGGGCTGGAATAAACTATGTGGCGCGAAATACCAATGTCATGTCATTTGAAAATATCAACACAACGGTCTGTTGGCCCTGTTTTGACGGCCCAGAGTCTTCCCCGTACAATGCGGTGCTTAAATGCGATTCCTACGTGAACAAGTCGGCCTGTCAAATTTTCCAGATCCAAATGCCCTTCATGACTGTCGGGTACGTTGTCACTTGGAAGCCCTCTTTTCAAAGACGGAATTGTCCTCCGTTGCGGTCATGCGGATCCCCGCCATGGCTCATGGGGCTGGCCGTCAGAAATATCAGGCCGTTGCCAGGCCCTATTGCTCCGCGACTCAATGGGCAAACGCGATGGCCTTTGTGATGGACAGCTTTCCATGCCAGGACAGTACTTGGGGAACTGGCTCGCGGAGCCCAAATACCCGACATGGCATGCCTCCCTAGCCTGACGACGATCTCTCAAGTTGCCGGGATTATCTCGCGGCGGGCGACCTAGAGGGCTAAAATAGTCGGGTTTCGTATTTGAGAAATAGCCGGATGCTTGTCTCAGTTTGGACCAGATCACAAGTCGTCACACTTGGACAAGGCGAACAGGTATGGCTGTATACAGGGGGACATCCAGAACAAGGGGGGGGCACGATGCAGGGTAACAGTTCTTGGACATCCCCCGTACATGCTATGCTACATGGGCATCAACAAGCCAGGTACCAGCGTCGCAGGGTTGAAAACGGCATGTCGAGATGTCTACCAGACCGGCCATCCTCGGGCAATTCCTACACGGCCAGCCAGCTGCCGTGTTTGACTTTTCACAGTTCCGCACTTCTTTGTCCCGACAGCTATTGGGGACTTGTTGCTCACCAGACGTGAAAGTACTCCAAGGAACTTCCACCTGCTTGGGGATAGTAACTATTCCCGTGGCCAGGGAGGTTTTCGTCCAAGCACACCTCTGCTTCTGCCCCTTAACTCCGGATAGCCAATAGCAGGTCGGAGGGCGCCAACTAGTTGCGGCCCAACATGACGCATGCAGCGCTCGCCATGAATGACGAGCCTCGTGGCTACTCATCCCGGAGAGACAGTCGGTGTTGGTGCGGAATCACAGACAATTCTCATCACCAGCCGAGTAGGGGGCAAGCTAGAAAGACACACGTCGCTTCGCCCGTGCTAGCGAGCCATTTCGTGCCTGATCCCAAACCTGCGCTGGCACGAGTCGGACGCTCACTGGACGGCGCAAATATCTGCATCTCCCTCCGAATGAATTCGCCTACGCATTTGGAAGCACTCCCCGTCTCCCCTGCTCAGTAGTTACCTGCTCCCCGCATTCCTTTCACACAGGCACCACGCATCGTGGGACCCGATTGGACGCACTTGGGTTCGTGAACTTGGTAACAAAGCCCGGCGGCTCTTTCTGGGTGGCCATTTGTTTCAAGACACTGACTGGCCCTTGCTTGACGAGCAGGGGTTGTCCAACCATGGCTGCCCAAGGAAGGCAACCAGATTCGATGGACGGAAATGAATCCAACCACCTGCGCAGTGGGCGTTGAATGTCGCCAAAGATACGACCCTGCGGCACGTGCGAACAGAACACCCGGCTCGATTTGGACCTCAACTCTGCAGGCTGCCAAGGATCAAGGAGAGGCAGCCGTGCCCGCAGCGCCAGGCACAAAAAGCCGTCATTTCAGGGACGACTTCACCGCGTTGGGTCTCCATCACGTCGCCGGAAACACGGTTGGGCAAGTTGCCCATTCTCGACGTCTCATCGGGGGCATCACACGTCGAACATCGTTCAGGGTACCAAGTGTCGGGCACATCTGGCGGAGGGCTTGGCTTTGACTGCACAAGAATTTCACATACGTCGTAGATGGACGTCTTTATAGGTTACCTAGTAGTTCTTCTTCCGTGGTCTCTTTTCCCCAGAGAAGCAAATACGGGTTTCGACTCAGTAGCTCCTTTCTCGTGCGAAATCGAATCTTCCCCCCGCCTTTCCAGCTCATCGTTTACCTTACGTTGCAATGTCGTTGGGAGATACTGCTTTGCAAACTACGCCAGCGGCAGAGGCAGATGCCGCTTCACCGCGGACGCTGGAGCTACGCAGGTAGCCGGGCCCGACTCCCAGCCCATTCACGATGCGAGAGTGCTAATACGCAGACTGGCGTGCTTCAGAACTCACGAGACGGGAGGCACAGGCTCCAATGGACGGCCGCGTTCCCACCAGGCCATGCTGACACGATACGTCAACGAGTTCAGGCGTAGCCAGGTCCCTGTGTCGGAGCGCCTGGCCGCAGATGCAGCTCGCTCCTCCGGCGGCAGCACCTAGCGCGCGGTGCTTCTGTCGATGGATACTGCGACTGGCGTCGACGATGGGGGCGGGCTATTCCGGCACGGGGCATGACCAGCCGGGCGTCGGGTTCGAATAGTCGGTTCGCCGTTTGATTTTGTCGAGGGCAATGCCTGCGTGGAGCTGTATCAGGAATCAGGATCGGATCGCTTTGTACCATCAGCCTCAGCCTCGGCTTAAGCTTTTTTTTTTTTTTTTTTTTCAGATGCCACAAAGGAAAAGGATACGAAAATGTCACTCATGACCAAGCATGCCAATCAGCCAAGTGGCGCGATTTGACGAGTCGAGATTCCACGGCTGCAAGAAGAGATTGGCCACGTCTGCCCACGCAAGTTCCCCGACGGCCAGGTAGATGAGAATACGCTCCACGGCAGGTGCCAGCAGTGTCCGGGGCGTGAATTGGGCATTGGCCGCGTCGACGTAGAATAAGGAATGTCGTGGTTTGGTGAGAAACACCCGCAGACAGATGGTGTTCTATGTTGCCCCTCACTCATGGTACGGATACAACGACAACACCGGACTGAGATGGGCATACTGGAAAAACCACTCGACTTTACTTTTACCTGATAGATACCCATTAGCGGTTCGAAGCGGCAGCCAGCAGGCTTTTCAATGCGATTGTAGACATGGATCATGTGTGATGCCATGTTTCGGATGTCCGAGGTCCGTGCGCGAGGGCGTGTAAAGTCAGTTCATCAAACTTGGCCAGAGATCTTCAGATAGCCATTCGATCATATCTTTTTGTTCTTATTGGACATGTCCCGGGGCGCGCGTGGGAAGTCAATGGGGCACCAAGACTAAAGCTGGCTCGTCATTGTTGAGCAGTTGAGGCGCGCAACCGGTTGAGCGCGAGATTCATCACGACGCAAGGAGAGACAGCGTGCGACATAGTTGATGCCCGTATCAGTCATGCTTTTATTAATAGGGCCCCTCGAGGAACAGCTAGCCTGGCCATTCCTTCGGTTTTGGGTCTCGCAAAGCCGTGGCTCCCGACATGGATGAGACGACGTCCGAGACGAATTAAATACAAAGAATTATTAGTCCGATAACGAAACGTCTAAGGAGAACACCCGGGGATCCTCTCCAAATTGGCACAAGTGATTCTCGTCTTGTTTGCGAAATGCACAACGATGGACCTGTTGCCCATGAAAGCCTCGGTGCCTTCGTCCAGCGACGAGTACGGATCCAAGTACTCGTCCACGAAGGGATCGTTCTTGACCTCGCCGTACTTGCCGCTGAGGTCGCCAACCTGGCAAGTCTGGGGCGCACTGGCGTTGCAAGGGGGAGTCTCGCCTCGTTTGTACGGGTCAAGATGGGCGAGTGTCTTGGTGCAGTTGCCGTCCGAGGGGACAGGATTGACGTGGATGTGATAGACTAAGTGAAAGGTGTCAGTGAGCTGGTCGAGGAAGGGCCTGCGTGTCGTGTCTCGGGTTGAGTGAAACGTACGGAATGGCCCGCCTTCCTCGGGGAGGTTTTGGAATTCGACGCGATACAGGACGCCGACGCCGTCGGGGCCGGGCGAGGCTTGAACAGACCCGCGAATGTTGCCGTGTAGGTTGCCGCGATGGAAAGGTTGGCTTGGGAGGACAGCTTCGTAGATGGCCCTGGCATTGTTGTGGACGACGGGGGCGTCGCGGGTGGCCTGGGCGAGGGCCGCGAGGCCGGCGACCAGGAGTGACAACATCATGGTGGTTGGTTTGCCTCACGGCAGGCTTGGGTATAAAGACAAGGGGCGAGTGTATTCCCGCACGACCTGATCCCATCCACTGACTCTTGAGTTGGTTGATGGCCCTCACAGGCAGCACTTTGTACGATCGGATTGTCTGTCGGTGGTGCGCGCTGCGGGATGAAGTGGGAGGCTAAAGAAGAAGTTTTGTGGAAGCGGCGCATGCACTCTTTAAGGATAAGAAAAAGTCAACACGGAATCGACGGCTTCGTACTCCGTATCCTTCCAAGCAAGGGCGCGAAATGAGCAAAGTTGTTGTCAAAGAGTAAGACAAGGGCTGTGCGACAGTCAGCTTGTGTGGCGCACAAACCTCGACGACGTGGGATTGCCATGCTCGAGCAGTCCTTTCCACTTTTTATCCTCCTACACCCCGCTGCAGCCCGCTGGGTACAATGTGTATACAACTTTAATCGCAGCTACGACGCACGCTAAAAACCTTGTGTTTGACGCTTTTTTGGTTTCTTTTTCTCCAGACCAACATGAATCCAGCGCCGCCGAGGCGTAACTAGACGGGCTATTGAGCGAACAATGTCATCATTTCAGATCTGGCCGGCCTGTATTAGATGGACGCTCTACGGAGCATCCGGTGCGCATCCATGAGTGCGGAGTATTTGGAATGTACGGGGGGAGTGCGGTGGCGGCTGGCGCCTGGGTGGGTCGGGCCGTCAACGGTCGGCAGGTGCGAACATGAAGATGAAGCTTGAGTGTTTGCCTGGCACTTGCTCGTCCACGGTCTGGGACGGACGCAGCAAACCGGTTGCGCTTGCTGTTGCATCCGCCCCGGTCCTTCCGGGCGACAACGGCATCTAAAACCACCCGACGACAAATTGGAGTTTTCTCTGCAGGTCGTGCGGATAGACGGTGGTACGGAGTACGGAGTACGGAGTACACAGTACGGAATAGGACCGCTTGCAATGCTGCTGCACAGACTGTTGGCCACGGCAGGCCGCACAGCTCTGGGAAATGAGCCCCCATCCAAGTCCTCGCTCGCCCGGTCGTCGTCGGTCCGACCGAGCCGAGGCCTCGGTGTGCATTTTATTTTATTTTGATTTTGCCCTGCGTCTTCGAAGCCAGTCCGCATGTCGCTGCAGGCCGCCGTGTGCTACCAATACCGAGTACTCCGTGGTCCATGCAAATTGACATGTCGGGGGAACGCTGCGGAAGTCGGGGCTCGCCAAGCCAACAGATGGACGACAGCCGGCGTCATGGGCTGGGTGGCGGGGAGTGTAATTATTATGTTACCGTGTCCGCCACGATCAGATGGTGGTGACAACTGGCGAGTGATGAGGTGGGGCGGGCTGCTGCTTTTCTGCCATTCGTGAATCTTGATGCCATACGGAGAACGCAGCACGGAGCTTCTAATAGTGGGGCGCTTCACGGGTACCCATCGCTGCCTTGTTCATCACGAATGCCATCACGTGCCCGCCCCTTCCCACGGAGCGGGTTTCCAACTCGCTGGCTTCGCCTTTACAAGATGATGGACACGCGAGCTAGTTCTATTACCATCCATCTTGGCGTATGCTTTGCAGTCGGTGCGGCCTGCGGAACCCAAAGACGCAGGCTTTGCTATTTCCATGTCCAGTCCGTGCTTGTCAAAGATGCCCGCGCGTTGCCTCCACTGCCCGCCGTGGCCCACGTTGCCTCGCCCTTCCTCAGTGTAAACATCATCACTTTTCTTGGTGTTTTCATTTGCACGTGTTGCTTGGACATGATTCAAGCCCCTCGTTGTGCCGACATGATAGTCATTCACGCCACGTCCAACTTGAGCCGTGACAACAACCTGTACCTGTAAATGAGCGTCTACCGTAACATCTTTCCTGCAATGCTTAGCCTCCTGGTAAAGTTGGGGACACCGCATTTTTTGCCATGGGACCCAATATGTACTGATCGTGCCCGCCCCACTTTAGATGGTTCAGCTAGCAAAGCCCTCACCACCAAAGGTGGTGGTCATCAGCAACGCAGCCACATCAGCAATACAGCCACTTTTTTAGCTTGATAACTTGATTAACCTCTTTATATATAACTAATATGCACTCTTTTCTAGTAAATCTAACAGACAAGTTTAATGCTATTAATAGGCCTTTTTTTTTAGCTTTGAAAAAGTGTGATAACCATATGGACTAGCCCTATTGGGCCATAGCGGGTGCCAGCCGCGGTCATCCCGGCGGTTTGCCGGACCCCTGGCCATTGAGCCAAAAGAGTACGCAATACTCCGTAGACAAGCTGCCCAACTCTTGTTCATCTGGCACTATATGGGTCACAGGCTATGTTGTCCCATTGCATCCGTATTGCATCGCGTCTTTGAGGTCGAGCATAGCTCAGACCATAATAATAGTAAAAAGTACCAAAAATCCAATACTTTTAAAGGTCTGACCGGGCCCCACGCCTCTGAACGCTTGGACGAGCGTTGGGTCTCTGACAACGGCAGATCAGACTCCGTCGTGATGTGCCTCGACTGTGTAGACACATTCCTCCTTTGCACAACTGCGTTGCGTGATGGAGCATGATTTACCGGGGCAAGGGCGGCAGGGCCACCGAGCCGAACACGGTGTCAACCGTCATCGGGAATCCGTCAATCCAAAATCGAACAGCACTGGCTCGGGAGCCAATTGAAATACTATCAACTACTCCGTACGTCGGGAGGCCGGGCGTACAGAGCCCGCCGCACGGAGTAGCCCTAACTTACTACCAGGCGTGACTACAGCCAAGCCAGCCTTTGTAACTACCCCGTACACCAGGTCCGGACTTGGCATGCGGCAAAAGACGATTGAGACAGCAGTATGCACTGGAGATCGAGAACATGGAGAACTGCAGGGGGCGATTCCTGGCCTCCGGCCAGCGAGCCTTGGCGTCCCTTGACGAATCAGTCATGTGCGGGCATGGGTGTAGTCCACTTGAGAAATGCGTCATCTGGGCTGCCGTTATTTCGGCGTGGCCCAGCCCACGTTGGTGTTACGTATGTCCTACGAAGCCGGACCTTTCTACTATCGAAAAAGCATTGCTCATTTATTGCCCGGCCCGGCCCATACTCACCGGAAATTACTCGCCCCGTGATCACTGATCAGTACTCCGTACGACCGACCGCCCATCGAAGGGAACACCTTCTTGACATAACATGGGGTTTCGGAAAACTTGACCTCTTCCCGATTCGCTGCATCATTTCCACAATCCAGCCTTGTTACGGAGTACTGTTCGCCCAGTCAAACACGCCAGGTAGCGGCAGCCTTGTAGCACCCCCAGCCCAGCCGTTGGGCCGACCCGTCACATCCTCAAAATAGCCCATCGATTGGCATCCAGATGCCTGTACGGTCCTAGCGGCCGTGGAAGGGGCCGGTGAGGAGCCAGCGGCACAAGCGAGCTTGTATTGGCAGCCAGGCGACGCTACGCACCGCCCCAAGGCCAGTCCGTGGGGAGTCAGGACTCGTGACGAGGACACGCCCAGAGGAGAAGCCGGGGAAGCGGTAGGACACTCAAGGCACCTTGGCCGCTGCTTCTTTCTAGAGCACCGAGTGCCGTCCGATGCAGGGGCTCAGAAGAATGCACACCGCCCTGCCGTTGCTCAACGACTCACGGCGCGGACCGTGATTGATCTGGGGGTCTGCGTCTGTATTGCACTTGAGATGCAGCACTTGTGATTGGATGCACATCATGATATTTGGTCAATATAGCACATAGCCATACTGGCAGAAACTATATCTATCAATGGTGACTTGACAATTTGCCGCAGCATATGAAACAACACTTTTTGCCACTATAGCCTACCCTGAGTTGCTGCGGCTATCTATCAGGTTGGCCACCAAGTCATGGGCCAAAGAGATACAGCGCCAGCGACTCTCGCCAATGTCTTGGACAACCAATCTAGAAGTGTGCCCCTTTTCGCCTCATGGCGCAGGACGTCTAGTACCTAAAAGTAGCCTGTTCTGCTCCAACTGCCTGCCATCCGCGAAATCCCGGCCGCAAACAGACTCCCAAGGCCAGAGACCAATCGCGGCACAGCCAAATGCCTAGCTGCATCCTCGCCAATCCGCTGGCCAGCCTCCCCGCATTGCTCCGTCATCTGTCTGCCTGTGCTCTGGAGTCTGGAGTCGAGTCTCTGAAGTCACGTCGCCGGAAGCGGGCATCCACCTGCGCGGAACCAAGAACCTGGACTCGATTTGTAACCTGCCCCCTTGACCGTCCCTACAAGGTTGATCCGAAATCGAGGCTCATGGCGAATACAAGTGGCTTCCATTGCTGCCGTTTTGGGCCGAAAAGGACACCGGGGGAAGGGGCACCAGCGCGGTCCAGGGAGGAGGGAAGCCTGGTGACGAGGTTGGACGTGTTTCTGCTGACGTTTGGGTGCATCTCCCAGAGTAAGTCGTGGAGGCGCCCCAGACGACACGTGTGCTGGCCGCATCGCCGCTGACTGTTGTTGTTGTACGGAGTAGTTATCAAGTAAGTCCTCTCCCGGGACCGGACCCTTGTCCGAATGAATGACATGCCCAACCACCAGCGGCCGCAGGTTCCTGGACCAGGCCAACATCAACAACGCCTACGTGTCCGGCATGAAGGAGGACCTGGGGCTCTGGGGCAACGAGCTGAACCTGTGTGTTTGCCCGCGATTGCACATGCCTCACCGTCAGCTTGACCGGGAGTGCTGATGCCATCCGTCCAGATTCACCACCTACTTCAACATTGCGTACTGCATCATGCTCATCCCGTCCCAAGTCATCATGACGTACGTACGGCCGAGCTGGTGGCTGCCTTCGCTGGAAGTCATCTGGGGTGTCATCACGGGGCTGGTGGCCACGACCACGAGCGCGAGGCAGGTGTACGTGCTGCGGGTGTTTTTGGGACTGTGCGAGAGCGCGGCGTATCCCGGCATGATCACGCTGTTTAGTGCGCACCAGACTCCCGAGTCCTTGAGAGATTGACTCGCTGACGACTGCCAGTGTCCTGGTACACGCCGCGGGAGATGGCCAGGAGAATCGGCCTCTATCATTCCTGTCAAGCAATCGGCCAGATGATGTCCGGGGCGATGCAGGCGTCTATTGTCAAGACCATGGATGGTCGCCACGACCTCGTCGGCTGGAGGTGAGGAGATGCCGTCGACGTTTTGGCGGAGGGCGGCGGCTCACGCTCCGTGTAGGTGGCTCTTTGTCGTTGATGCCATCATCACCGTGACTTGGGGCTTCGCGGGCTACTTTATGATACCGGATTCCCCGCGGAGCCCCAACCCGTGGGCATTCTGGTTCACGAGGCTTCATTCCGAGCTTGCCCTCCGTCGGCTCGAGAGGGAGAATCGCTTGGACGCGAAACAAATCACTTGGGCCGCGGCCAGGCACGTCTCGTCCGCTCCGCTCGCAGACTTGCATGCAGGGCGCTGACTTTGGCTAGACGCACGTTTTCAACGTGGCTGGTGTACGTCGTCGGCACCATCTACATTGCCATGGTTCTCGGGACGTCGGGATACAACTACTTTGGGCTGTTCCTGAAGTCCATCAGAAACAGCGACGGTTCGCCGAGATGGACTACGGTGCAGGTCAACCTCATCCCCATTGGCGGCAGCGCCATCAACGTTGTTTTTGGTGCGTCTCCCGCTCCGTTACTCGTCCTTTGGCGCGGCTGACTTGGGGTTCCAGTTTGGATCTGGGCATTCTTGTCCGACGTGTTGAGAACGAGATGGACCTTGATTGTCGTGCAGGGTCTGTGTTTCCCGGGCCCCTGCCGAGCATGATTTCTGACACATGTCAGCGCTCATTGCCATCGTCGTGGCGGTCATTCTGAGCCTTTGGACGACCAATCCGGACGGCACTCCCCTGCCGGCCGCATATGCTGCCTATTTCATGTCCCATGTTCCACTTGGCACTGCGCCGCTCATATGGGCGTGGCTCTCCGATCTGTGGGTTTTGTCAAGCATCGGCGAGCGCTCTCGAGTCCGGACTAACGGACTGGCTTTGAAGCGCACCACAAGAGCCCGAGGAACGATCGCTGACCGTGGGTGCCGCCATTGCTGGCTACTATTCTATTTCGGCATGGAGCCAAGTCCTGGTCTGGCCGGCTAGCCGGGCACCGTATTGTGAGAATCGTTTCTGCGGCCGCCCAGAGCATTGCTGATGTATCTGTAGATAAATACAGCTGGCAGTCGTCCATTGCTGTATGCGCGCTCGTCGTCGTTCTGGCCGTTTGTTTGCGAGTCGTTGACGCAAAGCACCTCAGGTGCGGACCGCGTCTCCCTCTGGCTGTCGCTGCTGCTGCTAACTCTTGGGGACAGACCGAGGAGGGAGGCAGCATTGACGATCGCTGCTTCACCCTGAAGAACGACCCCATTCCGAAGGTTGAAGACGCAAAGATGGAGCCAGGGGCTGTCATCAGACCAGTTTCAACCACCCCAGCGTAGTCAAGGTCTTGGCCGGACGCGGAGAAAATGTGAACTGACAAGAGGCGACAGGTGGCAGTGCACCTTGTAGTGTGATCTGGTCGGTTCTTGCCCAAGATGCGGGAGCCAAAGGGCTTGTGTCGTGACTCGTTCCTCGTCTCATCTCGATGTAACCCTAACCCTTGCACCCCCTAGCCCATGAGATCTGGAAGGAACGCAAGGTAAATCACACCGTGATGTGCAAAGACTGCGCGGGAACAAGAGATCGGTGTACTCTTGTACTTTGTTTTTCAGGCTGAATGGACTTGGTATTGCTCGTGCAGCTCCTTGCCGCGAGTTGGCGGCGGGCAGACACTTGTGCCAATTACAACGGAGGAGTCCATCATGAATACTGGCAGTCTCCGCCCATTGGCCATCCATGTGCTCCGTGTATCTGCAGTCTTTACTTGTGGCTCGATGACTGTGACTGTGTCCGCAAGAACTGAGGGGAAGGTGCATATTTGCCTTGAAGCCGGCCCCGACTTGTTTCACGGCTCTGGGGTGACGTCGAAGAGTTCCCCAGCCCTGAGTGGCCCTCTCAAACCATTCAGCTGCTGGTTGAGCTACTTGCTGTCCTTTTCCGCAATCCCGAGTCCTTCATCAATCGGCCGTGGTTGCGTGGATGGCCGCTGTGCATCGTCCCAACTCGACACTGCGTCACAGCACATCCTCGCTACTGGCATTCGTCTGTTGGACACGACGCAGTAAGCAAGTATCAGGATGAACCGCGTGTCGAATCGGCTCTTGGCGACACCGCCTCGGCCATCGCCCGCGCAGACAGCCTTTGACGCCGAAGTCGACGTGCTGATTGTCGGGAGCGGTGCGGCAGGTCTGGCGGCATGCTTGCGCGCACACTTCCACGGCCTCAAACCACTGGTCGTCGAGAAGACCGACAAGATTGGCGGCAGCTCGGCGTACTCTGGGGGCGCGTTGTGGATTCCTCAGAGTCGGCTCGCCAAACACGAGGGCATCAGCGACAGCAAAGCAGAGGCGCTGAAGTACATGGAGGCAGCCATCGGGCGTGTCGGGCCAGCATCAACACGGCAGCGGAAACTCGCCCATCTCGAGCAAGGCCCGCTGATGCTTGATTTCCTCACGAGCCTAGGCTTCCGGTGCAGGCTGAGCCAGGGCTGTCCCGACTACTACCCCAAGCTGCCAGGCGCCTCGACTCGGCACGGCAGGACAGTTGAGCCCGGTGTTTTCGATCTCAAGGCGCTGAAGAAATGGCAACCGCTCCTCCGCCCGGGCCCGCTGCGGCAACTACCTGTTTTCATAGACGAGGTGGGCAGTCTCACGAGCATGGGCTCCTCCGTCAAGGACTTTGCCCGAGGGCTGAGGTGTATATGCAGGGTCATGTGGCTCAAGGCAACGGGTCGGGAGCCGGCAACCATGGGACAGTCTCTTGTCGGGCAGCTTCTTCACCTGAACCAGCAGTCTGGTCTTGCCGTTCAGCGCAACACGTCGCTGCTCGACATGATACAGCGCGAGGACGGGACCGTCATCGGAGCCACGGTGCGGCAGGACGACGGGATCCGGAGCATCCGAGCCCGGCGCGGAGTGCTGCTCTGCGCAGGCGGCTTCGCGCACAACCAGCTCATGAGGGACAGGTACGGCCCCGCGCCGGCGAGCACCCGGTGGACCAGCGCGTCCGAGGGCGACACCGGCGATGCCATCGGCGCCGGCATGAGGCTGGGCGCTGCCACGGCCCTCATGGACGACGCCTGGTGGGGGCCGACGATCCTCGATCCCGTCCTCGGCAAGCCCTTGTTCGCGCTGCAAGAGCGGTCGCGCCCGTTCAGCATCATCGTCGACTCCACGGGCTCGCGGTTCATGAACGAGTCTGCGCCGTATACCGACTGCGGCCGCCGGCAGTACGCCAGAAGCCGTGAGGTGAGCGCCATCCCGGCGTGGCTCATACTGGATGCCAATCATCGCAAGCGATACTGCCTCGGCAGTCTGCGGCCTCGGCAGGAGGCAAAGGAAGCTCTGACCCGAGGCCGGCTCTACAAGGCCGAGTCACTTGAGGAGCTGGCGGCCAGAATCGGCCTTGATCCGTCCAGGCTGCAGTCGACGGTTTCTCGATTCAACACCATGGCGCGGGACGGGGTGGACCGAGACTTTGGCCGCGGAGACGACGAGTACGACAACTACTACGGCGACCGGAAAGTCGCGCCAAACCCGAACCTTGGCCCTGTTGCCGTGGCCCCTTACTACGCAGTGTCCGTCGTACCGGGAGATTTGGGCACAAACGGCGGACTGGTTACTGATGAGCACGCGAGGGTGCTGAAACCAGATGGCTCCGTCATCAAAGGGCTGTATGCCACGGGGAACACCGCTGCTACCGTCATGGGAAGGGCATATCCCGGGGCTGGATCTACGCTCGGCCCGGCTCTTACGTTTGGTTACATTGCGGTGAATCATATGGCTAGCGGGGCGAGGGAGTAGCTGCAACGTTCCGGATCAATGATTGCATGCGAGGGTAATGGCTAGGCAGGGAGGATCATCCTGTAATGTGACTCGATTTATGCCTCAAACAGCAGGTACGCCGCCCTGTCGTGCGTCACATCTGTGTCCGGCTCTGGCACGCGCTGTTTCCCTGTGCCGCACACCTCGGGCTTAACCTCACTTGACATCTCGAGCCTGGATGCCGTGCCATCGAGCTCTGGCAGCCAGGGGACAAGTAACGTCACGGATGTTGGTGACACAAGGGCTCGGTCACAAGACCTAGGGCAGAAGGCTGCTGCATAAGTAGAAGCCTCTGGCCGCAAGGACCTTTCTGAAAACCAAGGACCTTTGATACCAACGTGTGTTGTACGCGAACCGCGCCAAAGCACCACGAGCCCTCCTCTTGCACTGCTGCAGACGAGCCCTTGTCACAAGCAGCAAGGGCTGATATCACAGCGGGGTATGTTATATCCCGCGGTCTTAAGAGTCGCTTTGTTCCTCAACCTGAAGGACCCGACCATTTGAGGGCTAAATGTGGCCTGGGTGACTGGCGCGTCAAGATGTTGATGCCTGAGCCTCGTCAGGTCCCTTGTGCCTCGGTGCCCGGCCGCTTGAGTGGCCTATGAGGGCATCGTCCTCACTGCAGCCATTATGCATTGCGGCTCGTCATGTGGTCGAGGCCTTGTTGACCGCAGGGTTTGTGCAGCACCGGGGCCTGCCTTCTCTTCTTGACCCCCTCGTCTCAAGGTTCGTCAGCTTATGCACCTTGTTCACGAGAGGCTGGGCGGAACTCGTTTTCTGTCTTGAGCCGCCTGTGCTGACATGTCGAAACGGTAGTCCCCCCGATCAAATGGATGCAATATTGTTGCTAGGAGAAAGCGGCATTCAGTCCGCATCATGTAACGCACAACATGTTCTCTGGAAGAAATCCGGCGATGCTCGACCGGCTTGGATCCCTCACGAGTGCAGCTGTCTACTCCGCGAGCAACTCCAGGCCGCTGCCGAGCGTCGCCGAGAAGGGAAGTCAATGTCACATTGGCGACGCCGGCTGAAGGGCAGGATTCCATGGCCTACCAGTCCGAGCGCGGTGGACCAACAAGAGCCATTCTCCGATGGGCAGAGGGTTACACGACATGAATCTGACAGCGTCCTCCTCATGCCGCTCGTCGTCGTCTCACGTCACCTCGTCTTGTGCCAGCCGTAGGAACGGGCCAGGGAGCGGCTCTACATCGTAAGATTACGCGCCGTGCATACCAGGAACAAAACATCATTTAAGAGAGCGCATCTGCTGCGGAAAGCCGTGAGAATCCAATCCTCAGACAGATCATCTGCAAACCCGCGACCCTTGACCCCGAGCTTTCGCCACTTTGTAGGTTACTCCAAGTCTTATAAGTCCAGACTTGTCCAGACGGCTGACCGCTCGTTTGCCCTGCAGACACAATCAAGATGCGCTTCTCCGCCCTGGCCGTTGCTCTTCCTGCCCTCTTCACCGCTGTGGCCGCGGCAGGTGACGGTGGTGCTGCCGGCCCGGCTCTGGATTCTCGCGCGCCTACGGAGTCCGGTTCCTGGTGTTACGCGCCGCGGGGAGAAGCGTTTTGGGGCCAGGCATCCTCGGACTGCTGCGGGCAGGTTGGGGGCAGTATGCATAGCGACCGCCGCTGCTTTGGGCTGAACAACAATCCTTCGGCATGCAGACAGTTCTACCGCTGCTGCCAAATCAAGTACAAGTCTGGGAACCATGACGGCGACAGGTGCTATTAAGTGCTGGGCGGCGCGATGCTGAGAAGGATCCATCGCAGCGTGCATGATGACAAGCTTGCATCGTGTCCTTGTTTGGCATGTAAACGGTTGTACTTGTCGTGTGTCTACAAGGGAAAAGAAACGAGGGATTGCTCAGAATGCCATTCTCATGGCCATGCCCTACAGAACATGTATATTCCTCCGTTGTCATGTGCCAACTTGGATAATAGTGCAAATTGTTTCCTTGGAAACTTGGAGTTCCGTGCCCACTGGATGCGGCTGCTCTGCCGAGACATGAAGTCACGATTTTCTGAACACTGCGGAATCAAATCTGCGACGGAACACGTAGAGACTGACAACCAACTCGGTTTCCCATGCCGTTGATATTCGGAGGAGGCAATCAGTTAGTCCGGGCTTTGATTTTGCCGGAAGCGACGTGTTGTCAGCAGCAACCTTATGCAAGGAGATATAGCCATGCTACAGTCTACGCGTTCAGCACTGCTCACTACTCGCCGCATGAGGCAGCTACGAGAGTTGGTAAAAGATCAACTTGCACCGGTGCAGAAACCTGTCCAGCTAGGAACCAAGACTCTTTTTGTGTACAGAGCTCGCCTGTCGCCCAACCCGGCTTGTTTCAATAGGAGGGATGGTATTCCCGTCCTTTTAGTGCAATTTCTCACTGCTTGGCTCTGAGTCCCAGACAGACAAGTCCAACAGGGCAAATAGAGTGATGTAAATTATCAAATTGCGTAATTGCCTCATGGGTGCTTTCCACGTCTTGCATGTTCGAGCATGTCTGGGGTGGTTTGGAGGAAGTTGGAGTAGACCTACGCAGAATGTGTTCTCTTTTGGCCGACAGACGAGATGAGGACGCTCGCTCAGGTCTGGTCCACATCATCTCACGCGCGGAACGGTACCGGCCTACATCCAATCTTGGCCTGCATGTTGAATCTGGCGTGTTGTTGTCTATTCCGTGACTCCGTTGCTGGTTCCACATGCAACCTTGTGTCAGGGGAACCTCTCTGGCTTCATGGACGAGTCAACGGTAACCGATGCGGGATGAGAGTCCGCCTCTTATCAAGCGAGCACTTGTCTGGCTGCAACAAAGAGTCCTGACTCCTGGCGGAGCTTGGAAAGAAGCATTCAAAATTCAATACAATAATCAGCTTCAAGTCTCCCCGGCTCTTGGCTCATCGTGACGAACGTAGACTCAAGGTCTCGGCATACACGTGATCGGTGTGCCTGATACCCTGAGGCATACCAGATGCCCCTGCCCCCTACGCTGGGCTCGGGGTCTTGGGACCATTGCGGCTTCGCGATCAAGTTATGTGACTGACCGGTGTTGGCCGCCGTGGGTCCGTGGCCTTGGAGGCCTGACTGTCAGACGAAAAAATGCGCATATTTTCGTCTGCCAACACCCTTTATATGCCATGCGACACTGACCAAGTGACGACGTTGGCGAGCCACTCATCTTGGAGATGGAATTTGGCGCATTCACCTGTCCTTGCCGTCTCTGCGCAGAATCCAAACGCACAGCATGCGGCGACCAAGTGAAGTCGATCCCGACGGCGACGCGATACTACTTCCCCGACGCTCAAACTTGCACCGTCTGACCTGGCCAGACGCTGACTGCTACAAGGTTGATGGCATGGACACCAATGAAGCACCTACACAGACGCAGCATGGCAGGCGGCAAGAGGTGCACTTTCGTCCCTCTTCAAGGCGCTCGACTCGCGCACCGTCTGACTTTTGTAACATTCATCCGAGGGCTGGAAGGGGGATCGCTCTTGTCGAGATCGGACCGTCTGAGAAAGCTTTGTTCAAAGTCACTGTTGGAGGTTTTGCGTCCATTGAACTAGCTGTTCCACGATTTAGTTAGGGCGCAAAGGGTTGCAGCAAGGTCTGTTCATGTATGCTTCTTGGCTTGCTCCCACAGCAATCAATGGACAAGCGCGAGGTCGGATTTGATAGATTTTCTTGAAATCTTGAATCCTACGCCAACCGGAGCACAGGGAAGCTCGTCGAGGATTGGCTACAGGGAAAGCGACGGAGTGAGGCTCTCCCTGTTCCACGAATAATTCAAAGTGCAACGCAAGAAGCGGGAGAAAAGAGTATCATAGTCGACGACTTGCGCGGCGTAAGCCTCGCCAACTACAAAGCTCAAGCAAAGTTTGCCAGTGCCGTGAAAGAATATTCAAGCGGCCATTGGATGAGATGGTCTGTTTGGGCATCCGCCAGCCGAGCTATGCGTACGACGATGAGACAGCCTTGCACGGCATCAAGTAGGCACTAGCTCCTTGACCGCAAAGGACGTTGCATCTTTTTCCTTCTTGACTAGCGGCGCATGTTTAGCCGGTTCGATAAATCCCCCACACTTGCGCACATCTTGTTGCCAGCCGGGGCCAAATCGTTGGGCCTTCCAGGATTGCAATGCCGGCACTTTGACCGCACTGGGATCCAGCCCCTGTCGTCAGAGTTGCTCGGAGCGTCACGTCCGCTGGTGAGAAAAGCGAGGGACTATTTACAGACAGCGCATCGGCATCTAGGGTGTCAAGAACAAATGTTGCAACGTCTCGGGGTTACAACAAACCCTCGCCCTTTGGCTCATGCGAACTGCGGTCCCGCACAATTGCTTCCACGGCGGGACTCCAGCTTCAAAAGCTCCCCAGAACTACGCAAAGCACCAAACTGTTGAAGCGGAAAGGGGCGGAATGGCACGGCGACGTCGGGCGATGACGGCTGTGGCGCGTCCACCGGCAACCCAGCAATGTCATCGAGTCGCAAGGCGGGGTTCCATGCACGACGAGCGGGATACGAGCAGTCCTCAAGCACGGCGGCACAAAGAGCTGTAAAGATGCGCGCGCAAGTTCAGCCAACATGTTGACTGGACGTCGTCACATCATCGAGGCGGCCGACGATGAACTGAGGGGTGAGCAGCTCCAGCAGCTGAGCCGAGGGCTGCTCCGCTCGTCGACGCGGGCCAAAGGGGTGCCCACTGAAATCTGATTGGCTGACGAGGATTCAATAGGGATTAGTTTGGGTAGTAGCTTTGTACCGCACTCGCGTACTTTGTCAGCGCGAAAGCTAGACTCGGAAGACGATGTTGCGGGGAACAGTCGGTCAGGAAGCGGCCGGTCACACACGCGGCAACGCCCCGATCCCGACGATGAGGGAAGAGGCAGGAAACACAAGATATAAAATTGGAAGCCGTTGTGAGTAGCCTTGATTGCGCGCAGCAGCCCCACGTTATGGACTAGCCCGATCGGGCCATCGCGGGCGCCAGCCCCACCCGTGCCGGTGGTGTGCCGGACCCCTTGACCTGGCCGCCGGCGCGAAGAAGTGGGGCTCCCTCAGGTAGGTCAGCCAGTCCATGCGGCGGCACCACCCCCGCGGACATCGGCTCAATAGTGTCACTGTAGAGATGGATCCGTCATCCCGAGGTCGAGCCCAGGAACCCGTGGCGCATGCGGCTGGTCAGGGGCTGGCCGACGGGGCCTGGGGCCAAATCACCACCACCCCGTCTCGGCAAGAATCAAGAATCCCAGACTGTGCCTGGCCCGATGTGTGCCTGCCCGGCTTCCAAGCTGAACTCGGCCGCCATGGCCCATGGCCGTGGGCGCATCCAGGCCGCCGTTTGTGTCTAAACTTTATTCCCCTTTGCCGTGTATCCGCCTGTCGGGCCGGTATAGCCTCAGCTGTCCAAGCTTGGCGTGGCGTCGCGCCACCTGCCGGACCATCACCACCCGGCACGCAGGTGCGGCGCGGAGATTGGGAAGAAACGACGCTCACACGTCCCTCTGGATGAGTTCGCACCTTGTGGTCTCATGGCAACGAGCAGGGTACATGCCTGAGAATCCGTCCCGTTCAGCTGAGCCGTCTTACGACGCAGTACCAGGCCATTGTTTGGGGTGGCCACAACCAGTTGACGTCTTTTGCAACGTGCGTGTGGTGGGAGGCCTCGAGTTCTGCCTCTTGAATACAACAAGTACACATGTATACATGTATATACACGCACGTCTCCAGTGTCTGTCCACGCACTCCCCGAAACTGGCGCAAGTCGTAAGGGCAAGCCGAGCTAAAGAACTAAAGCCCTTCGCGCCGCTCCCGGTTGCCACCTTGAGCCAGTCTTTTTCATCTCTACTCACTAGTCCCTTCCCCCAAGCTGCTGCTCTCCTCCCACGTTCCAAATGCGGCCCTCTGTGTTCTCGCGGCGTCTGGCCGTCTTCGCGGCCGTCGCTCGCCTTGCGGCGGCGGCCACTACCGTCTCCAGCACAGTCCTGATCATTGCAGCCGACGACGAGTCCGTTGCCGCGGCGAGTCCCGGCCTGGACGGCTACGGAATTCCGTGGGCCAAGGTCACCATCCCCCGGGGCGGACGACAGCTGCCCGAGCTGAACTCGACGGCCGCGGCGGGCAACTACGGCGGCATCATCCTCGTCGGCAGTGTTTCCTACGAGACCAACGGAACGTACAGCAGCGCCATCACGACGGACCAGTGGAACCAGCTCTACTCTTATCAATCCGCCTTCAAAGTCCGCATGGTCCGCCTTGCCGAGTATCCTGGTCCGCAGTTCGGTGAGCAACTCCTCTGCCGTGCACCCCGACCTCTTTGCGAGTCATTCTGCTAACTCGGCCGAGGCACCACCGCACTCGGCGAGTGCTGCAACGCCGAGGAGCAGCTCATCAGCATCAACAGCAGCGTGGCCTTTGCAGGGGCAAATCTCAAGACGTAGGTGGCTCCTCCTCGGTCTGATGCCGCTGCCTCTGTTGCTGATGACCCGGAACCGGTGTAGCAACGCGCCGGTGAGCACTCTTGGCCTCTGGCACTATCCCGCCCAGATAACCGACGCGGGCGTCGCCACGGCCTTTGCTGCCTTTTCCACAAACTCCAAGTTTCCCACCGAGTCCGTCGCGGCCGTCATCAACGACATTGACGGCCGCGAACAGATGGTGTGGTTCGTCGACTTTGCTCCGGATTGGTCTCTCACGTCCAACTACCTGCAGCACAGCTACATCCACTGGGTGACTCGCAGTCTCTTTGTCGGCAAACGAAAGGTCTACCTGAGCACGCAGGTGGACGACGTGCACCTCGCGACCGAGATGTATCTGCCCGCCAACACGACCTTTAGGCTCCGGCCGGAAGACCTCGACGCCCACGTTGCCTGGCAGAAGGACATAAACGGCCGCCTGCCTGCCGGCTCCGACTACTGGATGGAGCTCGGCCACAACGGCAACGGTGACATTGAATCGGCCGTGACCCTCGAGTCCCAAGCCGGAAGCACTGTCGAGTGCCGTCCCGATGCAGCCGTGGATTACATCTCGCCCCCCGACACCCCCCTCGAGTGGGCGAAGCCGCCCGGCTCGGGAACCGACCTTTGGCCCTCGTCGTTCCAGTCGTACAACTGGTCCAAAGATTGCGCCAGCTTGGATCCCCTGGCCCGGTGGTTCCTCGACACAAACAACCTCAACGCCTTTGGCCACGTCTCTCACACCTTTTCCCACGAGGAACTGAACAACGCCACCTACCACGACGCCACCCGCGAAATCTCCTTCAACCAGGCCTGGCTGGCCCAGATGGGCATCTCACAGGCCGCCAGGTTCTCGCCGCACGGCCTCATCCCCCCTGCCATCACTGGCCTGCACAACGCCGACGCCATCAACGCGTGGACGGCCAACGGCATCAAGTACGTCGTGGGCGACAACACCCGGCCCGTCCTGGTGAACCGGCAGAACCAGTTCTGGCCGCTGGCCTCGACGGTAGACGCCAACGGCGCCACGGGCATCTACATCATCCCTCGTTGGGCCACCACCATCTACTACAACTGCTGGTCGTCAGACTGCACCGTGCAGGAGTGGAAAGACACCTCGGGGGGCTCTGGCACCTTTGACGACCTGCTCAAAGACGCCCGCACGACCAATGCCGCCCACCTGCTGGGCCTCAAGCCCGACCCCTACATGTTTCACCAGGCCAACCTGCGTCAGACTGACATGCCGGTCATCGCCGTGGGGTCCGAAACCAAGAAGATGTCCTTGATCATGTCTTGGGTCGAGACAGTTGCCCAGGAGATGGTCCGCCTGACGAACTGGCCTCTTGTCTCTCTGAAGCACGACGACACCGCCGCCTGCTTTATCAATCGTATGACCCTGGACGGGTGCAAGCCCCGGGCAGACTACACGTACTCGGACGACGGCACGTCCATCACCGCCATCACCGTGTCCGCCCAGGATACGAGCTGCAGCGTTCCCGTCCCCGTCACCATCCCCGGGGGCAGGACCGTCTCCGCCAGCAGCGGCTCTCCAAAGTCGGACAATGTCGGAAACGAGCCGCCGATCATTTGGGTTACATTGTCTGGGTCTCCGGTGACGCTGACGTTGAGCTCGCCCGTCAGTGGGGGGGGGGGGGGGGGGGGGAAGGGTTTGTCTTGACCAACGCAGCATGTCCCAGAGGCACGTTGCCCGTTCATCAGGAGGTGTTTGCGGGGATGCATTTCCTGTACTTTGCCACTTTTTCTTCGTTGTATAATTACCACCTGCCATTGCTCGTACAAGGGACGTCACCTTCGTCGGTCGTGACTGGCGGCACCCAGCATCCATCCATCCATTGCTCGGTCCTCGGCACCTGTGTATTGTATGAGCATCCATGCATCTGTTCGCGACGAGCCTGCCGGCTCCCATTCACCCTCCAACCAGGACGCGGCGGCAAGCGCCCACGTGCCCATGCGCGACTCGACAGCCCGAGCAACGGGCGTCGCCACGCGCCCGTGCGAGGAGGCCTGGGATGGAAGAACTCTCGCGTCTTGCCCTCGTAGAACCCCCCTGGAGCGGGACGGTGCCGCACACTCCGAGGACAAGGACAACGGGCCATGCTCTCGTTCAGCGGGCGCAGCTTGCCGTGTCATCACCGTCCGGGCTGCCAAGGTGTTGCCGTGCCTCCACGTCGCGCCCGTCTCCCGGCGGGCACGAGAAGAAGAAACGAAAAGGTCGAGCTTACGCGTCACCCGGCGGGCTCGGACCCAACTCCAAACACTAGCTCTATCAGAGACCGACGGCCCCTGCCACGCCGCCCGATGTTCGGATCTCGTTGTCGCTGCCGTGCTCTGCCCAAGGGGGCGCTCGCCTGGCCTGGCTGGGGGCTCGACGCCTGGGGTGACACGTCGGCGCGGACGGGGTGTCGGTTCTCACGTCTTCACTCGTGTTGGACAAGAAGCTAGTGCCGTAGGGCCCGATTGCTGTCAACTCAGGTACATGAACATGAATAGCCCCCGTTCACAACCCCCCAACGTCCGCGGCCACGGCGGCAACTCTACTTCGCGCGCCCTGGCCTCGTCTACATCTAGCAGTCCCTCCTCTTGAAGCAGTTGATGCTACTGCACACGGTGGACACGAAGTGCGACACGGCCGAGCAGGACCTGGCCCAGCACGAGGTGCCCCTTGGCGTGAACGGGCTCTGCGCCGCGTACTTGTATCCCGGGTTCGCGATCCACCTCTGCAGCTTCGGCCGCGCGCCCTTGAGGTTCTGGAAAAAGTAGGCGCCGACAATCGTTTCGCTGGGGACCTCCCCCTCGACCGCCAGCTCGTACTTCCACGCGTTGCTCTTGTCTATCCGGGGGAGATAGTGCGCGGTGCGGCCGCTGATGCCCTCGGGCGAGACGACGTACACGTATCCCTCGTCCCCGGACGCGCCGACGGCCCCGTGGTGACCGTTGGCGTAGGAGATGGCCGTCGTGGCGCGCCGTGTGAGCGACACCCACTTGACCTCGGAAGTGTCGAGGAGGTAGTGCACGCGGTAGGGCCTGAAGCCCTCGGCGAACACGACCTCGGGGGCTCGCGAGTCGCCGCGCCAGAGGAACCCTCGAGGGCTGTCGTCCGGCATGGGCGCGTTGGCGATTTCGCGCGGCGACGCCGTGGGATATACCGCCGCCGCCGCCGCGCCCACCAGCGAGAGCAGGGCACCGAAGCGCATCTGCCATGTCGGGCGTTTAGCGTGATTTCCTGCCGGGGGCTGCACGCCGGGTCAAGACTTGCCTTGCAAAAAGAGGAAACGAAACAGGTCGGTCAGCCGGCCGTGGTGCTGGCGGCAAGGGTGAGGCTCTCGTGACAGCCGAGGACGGGGGAGCCAAAGGCACGCAAGCGACTTGAAGGCAGCTGCTTGTGATGCGGGCCCCGACGGAGCGGCTCGATTCCCAGATTGGCTATCTGTGCGGTTTGCAAGTGACACGAGTGGCTGGAGAGACTTTATATAAGTGCGGCCGGTCTTGGGTCGAGGCGAATTCTCGCAGACCTTTGTCCATTATGCCTCTGCCAGCGGAACTATTGCCCCGTCTTGGCGTCACGCCATGAATTCACTTGTACTCGTGTGTATCTCACTACTCGGCAGCCCACACGGCGATGCCATTAGATGTGCGTGGCTCTGAAGGTGCACATTGCGCGGCCCGGATGGCTGGTTTCCAAGTTATAGCAAAGGCCGTCGGTCCAAGTATTACATGCACGTCTCTCATATAAACGGTCCCGACGGGGCCTTGCTTGTCAAGGATATATCGGTCTAGGGTCTGGCCTCATCCGCCCTCACCCATGGCGACGTCATGTCTAATATAGAGCTTCTGGAAACTCTTTACCCAAGGCGTCGGAAGTGCAACTTGCTGCTTGTTGGGCCCGTTTCAAAAGTTCACCTTTGTGGGATCCACATCCTGGTGTTTAATAGTTATAATGCGCAACTCACAATCCTGGAGCGAATTTCGCCCGTCGGTGCAATCTATAAAGCTTGAGTCTTACCAAACGTCATCTCCGGGTAGCACAAGTCCACGAATCCAGACATCTGGCCGATTTGATATTGCCCTCTGGGAATCAGCCAGCCTGATTGCGCTCGAGATTGAATCCGACAGACTTTTTCCCCCGTCACAATCATTGGCTTGATTCGATAGACCCTGATTTGAAAACCCCGTTGTGCTCCAACATCTGCTCCACTTGAACCTGGCGTCAACATGGTTCGCGTTGCTGCAGTCGGAATATTAGCTTGTGCGTCAAGGAACAAGGAGGCATTGCATGACCGGAAGCTTAGCAACGACTCTAGACCGGCCGACGTGGCGTGTACTCGCGGTGTCCGTGGCATTCTTCTGCCGACTCTGCCGCAACGGAGACTGCTCCGATCCAAGACCTCGACTCGCCCGTGGTCCCATTTCCGGCGCAGCAAACGCCAAGGACGACATGCAAGACGTCTACAACTATCATTAGAGGTGCGTGAGACTCTCGACAAGCTTGAGAATACAGCCTCAAAGATGGAGCGGAATCCACGCCAAGCTCTCGCAAGACATCGGATGGCACATGGGTAGTCCAGCTAGAGCTTATGAGAGTATTTCTCAATTGTCCACGGCAAGGCGACAGAAATATTATACTCCGGGACTCGAATCTAGACGCGTACATGGGTCTCTGAGGAACTCGAGGTTCAGGTTGAGCTCTATACAATATCGCAAAGCTAGAATAATCTACAAAGCCCACATGATATAATTGTGTACACATTCAACACTAGCCACAAAAGACAAGAACAACCTAAGCACCAGAGAGCTACAGCCTGACCCCTGACCCCTGACCCCTGACCCCTGACCCCTGACCCCTGACCCTACCCACGAGTGATCTGACAAGGAGACCTGTGGGGTTCAATGGATTGACCGGCTTGCCGGTACCAATGGCTGTCATTACGTACTTTTATGACGGATCGTCAAGGATATGTACAGGGAAATTGCCGCTTAAGGAGCAGCAACGTGTCTTTTGGAAACAACTTTGGCAAGGGTTCGGGTGCTTCCTGGGCCATGTGCTCACTGTGATGACCTTTTTTCTTTTCGTCTGTCAGCTCCAGGCTCCCGGTCATGCGAGCGCCCGGCGCAACATTCAGGGGTTCTATTGTACATATTGCATGCATTATACTCCGAGCCACTTGTTTATTCTTGGCTTTGATGTTTCTTTTCTTGCTAAAGGTCTCATCGTCTTGGCTAGGATAGGTAAACAAGTCCGCACGAAAGCCAGTGGCGCTTGTAGTGAGTATCCAAACCACCTTACACTCTGATATCCTCACTACGTCCCAATCCACGTGGCCCTGGTGTAATAGTCTTTAATTATTGGCCAAGTATTGGTGCACTACGCGACCTCTGAAAGTGTTTGATATTGTAGAGCGAGGGCTTGGAGCCGTAGCGACTCCGTCATTTCAGAGAATGTCTCGTATGTTGCTGAAGGTCGTTGCTGGGGCATCTCGGCTTTGATCCTTTGCGCTGTAACCCACCATAGCTCGAACCCCCTTCTGGCATGTGAGGCATCACGAGGCCTGGGATCTTTGTGCATGTCCAGCCATCGATGTTGTTAACCGCTATTAGCCATCTTCCGTGCAACAATTGAGCTTTGGGCGGGGACGGGCATGACTCGAATTTGCAAGTAAAGCAGCTAGGCGTTGGATCACGGTCGAATTTCCAGAAAACCAAGCAAGACGGTGGGCTCGCAGCAAAAGAGCCCGGACCTCTAATCAATAAACCTTGGCTCTCGTCTTCACTCCGTCCGTCTCCACTTGGAAGTATTGCTTTTGTCTATTATAGCTCAAAGCTCATAGTATTAACAGGGCACCTGAGAGGATTTATGCTTAGCTCGCACCGCGGTACTGCGTCCTAATGGTCCCATCAGTTGACATGTTGGTCAACATAAATGCTGGCTGGCAAGAAGGCATCGGCGAGTTGGCAAGATCTCACAGCATCCAAGGTCGAGGCCGAGTCATGCAGTGCATCAAGACTATCGACAGATCTATATCTGCCCATTTATCTGTATCCCTGGTGCCCAAACCTCTGGATGCTCTTGCCGCGGATGCAATACTGAGCGGAGTCGACGGCTTGTCACGTCGCCGCGTGTAAACTGAAGCCATTATCAGCTTGGGACCTATAAAGGTCTTGCGGCTGCCATTGTTCGCCGGCATCACTTCCCAGCCAGCACGTCAAGAGAATTTATTCTCAACATCTCCCGCCTTGTCTTTCTTTGCTCTTTCCTGGTCAAACTGGCATATTCCTCTCCTGGCCACCACGAATGACGCACATATGAAGGCCTACCGGCTCCTTGCCCTTTTCGCTTTCGACGTCGTTGCAGGTCCGCCGCCCAGGCCAACGCCCGCTGTTCTCGACGGGCATTCAAGTCGTAGGACCGACGCAGCTGATGCACTTTCGGGCGACAGCAAGCCGGCGACTATTTCTGACCACGTAGCTTCGATTCGCAAGCGAGAAGTCTGCCAAGTCTTCTACTTGACCGATGATGAAACCTTGACAGAAAGCGGGCTCATCGTTGCAAAAGAAGAGGGAGGGCCTGCCTTTCCTGATGAGTGGAAGACGGCAACTCTAGAGGAAGTTCAAGCAGCAGAGCTGGCCGAGTCCTTTTCGGAAAAGGAGTTTGCGGAGCTCGTTGCTGCTCGTGAGCTGACCTCTCTCGCAAAATCGAAATGGTCCCTGGATTTGGCCGACGTGCGCACGAAGCTGCTGGGTTATCAGCCGCTCTCGCCAAAATCCCTCAGAGTAAAGCCTCTCAAGTTGGGCTCAGCTGCTCCCGCGGCCGTCGGCAGCGCCCTCTGGATGGCTGACGTCGTCGAGAGCTTTATCAAGGAGGCCACCGTGCTCGACCGAGTCGCAGCCGTCACGTCCATCGTCCCCATTGTTGGCTGCGCAGTAAACGCAAGGGCTAGGCTGGAAAAGGACGACTTTGACGGAGCCGACGTTATAGACACGGCCCTGTGTCTCATTGGCGACGGGCTTCTTCTGAGTCCCCTTGCTCCTCTCGGCATTCTCACGCACGTCGTTCGGGCCATCATGTCCATGTTCGAAGCGCCAGAAGTCCCGACACAGGAGAGTGTGCAGCGGGCTCGCGATGCCGCCTGGGTCAGGTTCCTGGACGACAACGTGTACACGTACATCTACTCGGATGCGTACCTGTATCCGGATCAGGGCTTTCGGTACAAGCTTCAAAGCTCGCTCGCTATCGAGGCCATGGCCATCCAGTCCAGGGGCGCGCAGAGAATCGGCGCGGCCAACGCAAGCAGCCACTTTGCCTTGTTGGACGCGAGCCGGTCGGCCGAGGAAAAGGCCGAGATCAAGAACGGGACGCTGGAGGCGATTCACAGGATTCGACGGCGTGTCTCGACCGAGATTATGCGCAGGCAGCGCCGGGCTCTGCTACAACTGCCAACGAGGCTGAGGGAGGACATGAACCTCTCTCTGGAGTCGCTGGTTGAGGGTTACAACAAGAACTTCACCGACAAGATCACGTCCCGCGAGATGGTTCGCCATTACACGCAAGTGAATTTTGCAGAACCCGGCTCCCCCGAATCGCCGACGAACAACGCCGGCGACGTGTCTAGGCAGCTAAACGAGATCGCCACACATCTGAAAAATACTCCACCGCCCATGCCTAGTCTCTTGGAAGTCGCCTATATTGCCGGACAGTCAAAGGGCCTGGAAGGAGTCGATCCGCGGGCCCTGTCACCGCAGCACTTCATAAGGGATCATCTGATGGGACTGTCGAAGCAGAAGCGTGATCGGCTCGCGCTCCACCACGCGTTGGAGGTTGCGCGGTTTCTTCAGGGAAATGTTACCGAGGATGAGCTCTCCACCCTGTGGCCGTCAAACGATGTGAAAATGGTCCGAGAGCTCCAGCTGCTCATCGCCATCAAGTACGGGAGGGTGTACGATGGGTGGAAGGTGAAGTACGCCAGGGAGAGATTTCAGGGCCCAGAAGCTTTCTTCTTTGACAAGCAGGATCCTACAGCGATGCGATACCTTACCCACCCAGACGTTCTCCCTGTCCAGAGCGAGCCTGACAGCCCGGAATACCTTGCGCTCGTCATTGAAGTGGACATGAGACTTATCGACTCGGTGCTGGAGGATCTTGCTCTGGAGGGTATTGATATAAGCAACGCGAGGCTTAGGGTCCACCGACTGCGAAAGAAGTTGCAAGGCCAGAAGTTTGGGGAGGCCATCATAAGGGACGCCGTGGCTAGGGGGAGAGGACAGTCTCAACATTCCTCCGGCGCTGCTGTGCTTCCTGCCAATGGAACAGTCCGTGCCGCCGTTTGATTCTGTCTTGTCGCGAGGTTCCAACGGTTCAAGGGATTGCGAGTTTCCTGCAGCAAAGCGGTTGAGAGAAAGCATACATAGTGGCGTTGGCCTGTTGGGATACGCGAGTTATTACGAATGGATAGCAATGGGGAGAACTACAAGAGCTGAAGATGTATTTATACTGAGGATATCCCCCAACGTAAGCGTTGTAGGTTAAGGAATCGACAACTGTTGAAACTAAACCTTTTACAGTTTTAACATGGCCTCTCTTGTCAGTCTCCAGCTGAAGAACCTGCCACAGTTTAATAATTCCACTCTTTAGCTCTTGAATTACGCTCCGGTGGGCGCTGCAAAGCACGGGGCGCCGGTATGGTAGATACAGCAGGGTGGAATATCATCAGACCATGACATCTCACGCCGAAAACGCCAAGCATGGTCCAGAGCACTACGCTTCCGGTTCGACTAGCTAGGACTGATGAAGAAACAAGAAATGCTATCCGAAATAGACCTCTCAAATTGCTTGAATAACCTTGGATCTAGTACCACGCGTTCAAGATGATTGCTGAATCTAGCTTTTCGCTTTCCCCTCTTCCTGAGTGCGGCCAGTTCTCTGATGGTACGTGATAATCTCCAACCTTGTCAAACCGCATTAGCTAGGTGACGTCGCTCGCACACTAGCCAGGCCCGAAAAGGCACCTTGGCCTGCAATGTAAATAGTCCTGTCTCCAATAAGAGGCACAGGGTTCGACGAAGCGAGCAGAGACTGGTCGCGGCAGAATCAATGACGATACATAGCACGATACCTAAACGGCATATTTCGTGTCTCAAGAACCAACCCGAGCCCCCTTGCCCAAGCCGGTCGGCAACAAGTCCATGAAACCCGTCGTGCAGCTTGTCGACGTGCTCGCTGCCGGTGATGTTGGTCTTGTCCAGGTCATCTAGCACAGAAAGGTCAGCTTCTCACGTTGAAGAGTGAGCTTTGGGTGAGGGGGCATGAACGAGGCACCTCTAGTGGCGCGGCTTGCCTTGTTGTCGTTTGTGAGGTCCGCCCGATGGGACTTTCTGATTTCGTCATCTGAGGCTTTCAGCTGGTTTACTAGCGGCTAGGATTGGTGGGAGGAGACGAAAAGTCTGAGAGGCGTGAGAACGAGACACGCAGCTTGCAATCACGCTTTGATGTGCTATACTCGCGTGTATCCGTGAGGCCAAAACGCAGGCTTCGCATGAGTCAACTGGCTGCCCACAGATGCGTCGTCTTTTGGTTTCCGACACGTACCATGCAGGCTGTCCTGTTCAAGCCTCCTCCGCGTGCCCCAATCGCTGGCTGGCCACCCATGCGCTTGGTATCTTGTTCCTCTTCTGAAGCGCCAGTCATCTCCGTGACTCACCTGAATTCGGCACCTTTGTGTGACAACACCAACCTCCATCCACCATGGCACAGCACGGCACGGCACGCTTCGCTTCGGGCCTCTGCGGAGCACATGCGGATTTTTTCCTCCATCAATTGGTTGCTCGCAAGCTCCTCCTATTCTGGGCGGTTGCCGATTGGTCTGCCACCCTGCAAGGCTGCAGGGGGCGTTTTATTTTTCCGTACCCTGGGTTTCCCGCGAAGCTGTGGTGTCGACGTTGCCTCGACGGCCGACACGTTTTACAAGCTGGAACTCGGCTGGCTGCTTGCTGCCTTGCAGTGGCGCGTCGCAACCTCCAATTTCCGATGCCGATCTCCTGTCAGAACTCCGAACTCAGACATAGATGTGCAATTGACTACTCCGTACTCCGTAGAGCCCTGTCATGACTCACAAAACTCGTTGGCTGGCTGGGAACCGGAAAGGCCTGTCTCCTTTGTTGTAGTGTATCTAAAAGACTTATTAGCTAATTAAAAACTAGACGATGGGAAATACTTAATTTTATACTTTTTTACATTATAACCTAGTAAGACTTTCCGTTATAAAGAGCTATATTATATATATTATAGCTTTAGTATAACTAATAAGCTACATAGTACTAGTTAAAAGAGCTTTAAAAGGCTCTAAAAACTATTTTTAATACTAAGCTAAATATAAGCATTTTACTTGTATATTTGTTATTTAACGAGTAATTTAAGAACTAGAAGCTAGGAAAAAATAAAAGTAATAATAAAAGAAGTTAAATTTAAGCTTTAAAATATATTAAGTTAAAATAAAAATAGCTTTATTTATAGGTATATATCTAGCTATTCTAGCTGCTTTAAGAGCTATAGATGTTAAGGACTAGCCTTGCAGGCAACTGCGTGTAGGTGTTACTAGTATTAACTATAAACTTAGAGAGAAAAGAGGGAAAAAGCAGAAGTTCTCTATCTCTCTATTTTACGCTATTATATATATAGGTCTTGATATATATCTAAAGAGTATTTAATAAGGCATTAATATAGTGCTTTATATATACTTAAGCTTACAGCTTAAGTTTATTATACTTTTAGCTTTAAATATTATAAAGTAAATAGTAATAATTTGTTAGCAGCTAATTAAGTAACTTATTATAATTATAAAATTAAGCTAATATAATTTATTAGTTACTAAGTAAGAAAATATAAAGATTCTTAATAAAAAGTAGAAGTAACTTATAGTATAGTATTAAATTATATATAATAGTATAAATAAAAGAGTGTAGTTATAGAGGCTTAATTTACGCTCTATTTAGTTAAAGAGAAAGAGAGTTATTTATAAGTAAATTCTATAGTATAGCTGCCTAATTAGGCATAGCTTGTAGCTTAAGATATACTTTAGTAGCTATAGCTGCTTTTAGCTAGCATTTCTTCCTCTTCTAAATCTGTAGATATGTAATGGACTCGAGCTGTAGGCTCGAGTGGGTACAAGGCACTGTGTTGGTGCCTTGTCGGATACGCTTCGGATGCACATCGGACCTATGTGTATATAATAGGCGGAAAAGGGGGAACAGAGAGCTTCTCCTTTCCCTCTTTTCTCTCCTTAAGTTTATAGTTAATACTAGTAATGCTTACATGCAGTAGCCTGTAAGGCTAGTCCTTAACATACTATAAACTTTATTTTACTACAATGAATAAACACTTTTTAAACTCTATAGAGAGTAACCTACTATTGGCTGGCAATGCAATACTACTAAGCACCTAGGCTGAGGTGGCTGCTCTCTGGGAAACTGTTAATAACTAGGCACGACTAATTCACGAACTAACACAGCAGTGTATTGCATTCTCTAGATCAGCACCTACTACGCTAGACAATCCCTTGCACCCCCTTTATCTGGGTGCACAACTAATGCCGCTATGCGAGCTAAAACGGAAGCTAATTAAAATAGAGCCCCCCTTTAAGGGAGACAAGTCTATGTTTGCTGCATAGTGAAGCTTTATATCGCACAAATTAGAGGCTGACAAGGCATTTATTAGCAGTGCCTGCAACTAGTAGGATCTAGTCTTCTAGAACCTCTCTGTGAAGGTCTAGAAACGGGTCGCCCCTTACTATAAGGTTGGGGCATTTATAGACTACAACCTAACTGTATTTCTTAACTACCTAGCTACTATATACTCTAACCTCTATTGATAAGAAACAGCTCTTACTAAATTAGACTAAATGCAGTAATGCCTAAATAAAACGTTCGCAGACTTCTTTGTTCGGTTTAAGAACAAAATAGCACTAGCAGGAGGTATAGACTAGACTAATGCAGTTAAGCTAGTAAAGCTCTAATAAGCCTTAAGCGAAGAAATACGCAAGGCAATTCTTAGCTGAAATATCTCCTGCACTTTATACTAACTAGCAATTGCAAAGCTGTAATGCTTTGCTGTAGACTTTAAGTTGTACTGCTTAGAGAAGAAGCTTTGTAACTAATGTAGCAGAAACTAAACTCTCTTAGCAAGTAGTTAGCCCTAGGATGAAGACACGCTAATAACAAGCGTTAATAAAGTTAATGCAGACTAGGGGCAAGGGGGCAGAGGAGCCTGCACCTAACAGAGTGCGCCCTAGGACCTTGCAGGGGGCTAGAGGCAAAGGGCCCAATAGGTGACAGAGGCTGTTTTAACTAAAAGACGGGAGGTAGGGCAATGTTTATATTGTAGCTTGGGTAAATATTGTGTCTAAGAGTGCACCTTGCGTGCACTAAAACAGCCCTAACTAGCTGCTGTAAGACAAGTTGCAACAACAGAGGACTTATTAGAGAATAGCACTACTAAGGCTGAATTAGAAAACAACAAGCCTCTGCAATAAGACTCTTGTTAGGGGCGTAGCGCTGTATAACAACTAACACGCTTATTGCGTAGGTAGACTAGACATAGAGGTTAGATAAGACTGATTTAGAAATAGATGTAATGCCTTTTCTTATCTCTGTTCTAGTCAACAAACTTAAGTTTGTTAATGCCTAAGTAGACACAGGCTGTAATTATTATGCAGTTGTAAGCAAAAAGTATATGCAGCAGCGCAGACTGCAGCAAATACTGCTAGGGGAGGCGCGCTAGATCTATACTGTAGTTAAGACTAAGCAAGGCGGTTATTAACAGTATAAGTCACACTTATTTATATCCCACCTAGTAAGATTCTAGGCGGATGTAGACAGCTGGGAATTCCTAGTTGCTGCCTACATAGTGCTAGGGCTTACTAGGGACGTAATACTAGGGCTTCTGTAGATAAAGCGCTATAAGGTAGATATATGCACAGCTGCGCAGGAGCTAGTAATTAACGCAGTAGGAGGACTAGTAGTAAAGGGGATAAACTAATGCTAACTTACTCCCCTATTAGTTGCTATACTAGAATTAACGTACTAGGGTCTTGTCCGACAGGCCTATAAGACGACATAGGACTACCGGTTTGCAGTGACAAGCTTTCGCGAGTTAACATTAATACTGTAAGTTCAGGCTACATCTAACACTAAGGCGGAAACTAAGCTGCTGCTACTGCTAAATAAGGTCTAGGACTTTAAGGACCTTTTTAACGAAAAGGCAGCTGTTATGCTACCCCCCTATAGAGGCTCCTCTGATTATTACATCTAGTTGAGGAAAGAGGCGGACGGCACGC